CCCCGCCCGGCCGCGCCCCGAGCGGAGCCTCCGAACCCACCGGCGGCCGCGGCCCCGGCCCGCCCCCCGCCCCGGGCCCGGCCCGTTCCGTTCTCCGTCCCCCCGCTCCGCACCTCGGCCGGGCCCTCCTCGTCGAGGCCGGCGGAGCTCCAGAGCACGAGCCCCTGCAGCAGCAGGATGGCGAGGGCCGTGGCCACGGCCAGCCGGTACCGCCGGGCCAGCTTCCGCACCCGGGCGCTCGCCCCCATCGTCACGGCCGCTCCGCCGGCGCGGGGCGGGCTGCGGCGCGCACGCGCGGCCGGAGGCGGGCGGGGCCAAAGGCGCGAGCACGGCGCGCGTGCCGGAGCGCGTGCGCGCTGCTGAGGAGCGGACGCGTGTGCGCGCGTGCAGCGGTCCCTTCCTGCGCGTGCGCTGCGCGCGTCCACGTGTGCGGCAGGCCGTGCGCGTGCTCGTGTGCGGGGGCGCGCCTCGCGTCCTCGCGGTGCCGCCGGCTGCAGGGTGCGCCGGAGCTTTCCGTCCCCACGAGGCGGCTGTGCGGGTCTCCGCCCCGTCTGTACTGAGATCTCGGGCGGCTCCTGGCCCCGCAGCGCCCGCTGTCCCCCGGCAGCGGCTCTTAGCAGCTCTTGCTGTGAAAATTATCCCCAGATGCGGTGGAACGGGGCCCGGCTCCCCGGAGTTATCCACGGATTCACCGAAGTATCAGCTGCGTTAATTGAGAGAGACGTTTTATGGAGAATAATGCGTCGAGTGGGCGCCCGGGAGTAAACGATGGGCTGAGGTGGGGGGGCTGAGCCGCGGCCCGTCAGGGTGCGCGCCCAGCGGGGCCGTGGGGCACGGAGCCGCCCTGGGGAGCACGGGGATGTGAGCGGCTGTTTCCCAGCGGCCGTGCGGGACGAATGGGAGCATCTCTGCCGGCCGCCCCCCCAGCAGGGGCCGCACAAGTGCAGGGACCATTTTCTGCTCCCAGCACGGTTGCCACGTGGGGCACGAGGTCTCCGAACGCAGGTGTCGCCTCTTGCTCAACCTCTTCCTGTCTTGGTACCAAAGAAGCAGCGGAGCCTAGGAAAGCAGCAGCTCTGACATGCAGCCGGTTCCTGGCTGCCCCACGCACTGTCCTGATGCCCCCAAGTGGGTCTCAGCGTCCCAAGCAGCTCCCAGCAGACAGCAGTGCTGGCTCCCCATCCTCACTGTGCTGCACGCTGCTGCCTGGGAGCCATGTTGGCATAGAGCTGTTCCTGCTCCTCCGGAGGGATTTTGCACACCTGTGCGTAAAGGCTCTCTGTACTCCCTTTTAAATCCTGGGAAAAAGAGGGAAAAAATATAAAAAATGATTGGCATGGTTTCTCCAAGGAACATCCATCCGCCAGAGCCTCTTCCATCCCTTTCAAGCGCCCACTGCAGCTGCAGGACCAGAGAGCAGGAGGGCAGCCTCGTTATCTGTGGCAATTATCCACCTGTAACCCGCCCATCCGACCCAGCCCTGCCCCACACCAGGTGCCCCCATTACAGCCCCCAAGTGAGATTTCTTCCTGCTGCCTTCTTGAGATTTCCCACCTGCCACGGCTTCTTGACCTCCGAATATTCAGTGGCTGCCTGTGGAGATGCAGGGGCAGCCCTGACGTTGCTGTACGGATGGCTCTGCTCCGTGCCCGCGTGGCTGATATCCGCGTACTGCAGCACCTCCTGCAACCAACCAGGAAGAGTCAGGGTGCACTTCCAGCATCTCCCATCCCGCTGCCCTCAGTGATCAGTGCTGGGATGGAGGCAGGAGCACAGAGTGCAGCGCTTCCCCCTTCCCGCACAGCTCCCCAGGCCCGTGCTGTTCGCCTTACCGCGTTGGCTGTGCCACAAGTGCTGCCCATCTCGATGGGTGCTCCTGCGAGGGCTGTGTGAGATGCAGTCATGGTCAGACAAAAGGGAAAGCAGAGGAACAGCAGCGTGTGAAACCCTGTGCTGCTGAGGCCAACCTCACCGCAGAGCAGGAAGGGACCCGGGGCGCCTGGCCCGAAGCAGCTCTGCAACAAACGCAGACCCAGCAGAAAGCTGGCGGCCCTCTGCCCCTCCCTGTGCTGGCACCAAAATTCACACCAAATCTAGACAGAAAAAGGCACTGGTGACAGCTTCGCTCACCCTTCTTCCTCTTCCAGGACAGAATTACCAAAACGGTAGCAGCAAGTGTGAGGAAAAACAGAACCACTGCGATGCATGGGATGAGGATGCCCATGACTACGTCCAACCTGCAAGAGGAAAGTTTCTGTTCTCTCACTCTGCTCAGCAGCAAAGCCAGCAGCAACCACTGCAGAGCAGGCATGTGGGCAGCTGCTCCTGCTCACTTTGCTCTCTTTGCTCGGCTTGGTCATGGCTGTGGGCAAAGGGCTTGCCTGGAGAGCAAGGGAAGCAGGCAGGTGGTCCTCGGCCTGCAAGGAGCAGCAGCAAATGGGACACTGTTCTGAGAGCTGCAGCACCTCCAGTGTTTTAAGAACCACTTATTGCCACTGCCTCTCTATTGTTCTGCTCCGGTTTGGATGCACTGTTTGGTGACCTGCTTTGCTGCCAGCAAAGGCACAGCCACTGTGTCAGGGGGACAGGTTTAGAGAAGATCACCCATATGCACACTGATGGGAACTGATGGGAACCTTCCCCACATCTTGCATCACCTCTGAGAGACGGAGGAAAAGGGAAGCTCTGCTGCTGCCCCTTGGGCAGCCCCTGCGAGGCCATGTGTGACTGCAAAGCAGAACAGCACCCAGCTCAGCGCACAAGTGGCTTCCCATAAGCAAACACCCCTTCGAGATATGAGGAAGGAAATGGGATCAGCGGTGCAGCCCAAGCTCTCTTCTCACACAGCCATGACCTGTTGCTTCCTCGTGCTGCTCAACACCAGCAGGCAGGTGTGTCTCTCTGCCAGGTCCCACATTGATGTCTGCACTGAGCAGCTGTCTGACAGGACACAAGGCTGCCTTCTGAAGGCAGGAGGTCTAAGCCTGAGTGTGGGCCACGAGTGGTACTCACTGCCCTTCACTGAGGTCTCCGGAGGAAGTGGGGCGTGCGGTCTGCTCTGCAGGTTCCTGCTGGGAAGGCGTACATGTGGGGCCCGAAATGGGGCCAGGGGTAATGGCTGATGTGGAGGGTGATGCTGAGGTAGGACCTGTGAAAGAATGGGAAGCACTCAGCACATCTGCCTGCCTCTGTGGGAAATGCTGTGGGCTGGGAGGTGATGCACTCAGAGTCACCCCAGGGACACGGAGTCCCCTCTGCACAGAGCACACAGCCCCAGAGCTGAGGCTCTAAGCCCCCTCCCTAGGGCTGCAGCGGGGCCCAGCAGTCCCAGTCCCCCCAGCACACACACACACCCCAGCAGAGGTACTGCATGGCCCTGATCCGGGGGTCTGGTGCTCCTTGGTGGGAAATGGGGCGGGAATGAGGGACTCCATGGTGGCACAACATGTGGGCCAGGGGAGCACAGGGAGAGCCAGTGGGATCAGAGCAGAGTGAAAATGGAGCATGAGAGCAGGGTGATGCCCTGCAGAGAGGGGGGTAGCTGAAAGTGGGGCAAGAAAAAGGGACCGTACCGAGACCCCTATCATGGTGGCAGCCTGCACAGCCTGGTGATGCATCCCAGGGCAGCTCCATGTCAGTGCCCATCTCCTCCCGGCAGCTGCATCACACAGCTCTGCTCCTGGCACTTCTTGGGCACAGGGGGAAACGTCAGACCCACAAGTACTGACCTGGGAACACGGTTACCCGCACCTCATCGGCGACATCCATCTGCCATCGGTGTTTTTGCACCCCGCAGCGGTAGGTGCCTGCATCCCCCACAGTCAGGTCTCTCACGGTCACAATGAACACCCGCGCCGTGCGGTTGTCCCAGATGGAGGTTCGGCCCTGCTGAGCCCAGGGCTGCTGCTCCGACGTGATGACAAGGTGGGTGTTATACAAGCAGGTGTTAATCGTCCCAGGGTAGCACCAGTATTTCGGGTACTTCTCGTACCCCTTCTGGTAGGAGCAGGACACTGAGAGGGACCCCCCGATGTACCCCTCCACGGTGCCGGGTCCCCGCACCGCCCGGCCGGGGAGGCACAGAGCCGCGCAGCAGAGCAGCGGCAGCAGCCGCATGGCCGCATCGGCTGCACTTCTGCCCCGGGCAGCCCTCGTGCAGATCATGCTCTGTGCCTGTCCTTCAGGGCTGTGCCTTCCCCTTTCTGCTTGACTCATGGCCAGGCACTTGCAGAAGTCGAACTGCAATGTGCAGTTCTGGTTTCCTCTGCTCTCAGTTCATTTCCTTCATCCCTCTGTCACCAGCAGCACTCAGTTCCCACCCCTCGAGCCTCGCTGCCCAGCTTCCACCCCAAAACCACCCTCACCCATCACATTCCTCTTCCTCAGCTGTGTGTCTCCAGGCCTCTCCCCATCCCCAGACCTCATCCCCCGCAGCTCCAGTCCCTCATGCACCTTGCCGTTGCCCTGGAGGACAGGTTGGGCTCAGCATGCCCATGCAGTGGGGTTCCATCAGGCTGATGGGGTTCCCCCAGCTCCGTTTGGGCAAGTTATCTTCTGTGACACAAAAAATGTCCTGGCAGAGGACTCAGTGTGCACTGAAGGGCCCCACATGAATGGCAGCACTGCTTCTGCTGCCGCCAAGCACAGAGCATGGGAAGGAGTGTGATCCCTGGTGGAGCTCAGCAGCGGATGGATGCAGAGCCATGGATGGGGTGCAGCGAGGGGAGGAGGCAGCGCTGCAGCCAGGTGTGCTGTGAGCCCTGGGCTCAGGATGGGCAGTCCTGCCATGGGAAGACACAACTCAGCCAGTTGTGGGTGCGTGGCTGCATGGGGCAGGACTGAAATTGTGGGCAGCTCAGTCAGGCTGCAGTGCACGGCTCCCATGTGACACCATGCCCCCCCAGCTGGGGCTCCCTGCACAGCAGCACAGCCCCACACGTTTGTATTGGCAGCCCCTGGAGCCCCAGCCAGTGCTGGAGACAGACAGACAGACAGACACCTGCAGGATACCCATGCTTTGTTTCAAAATTGGTTTTTGGTGGCACCTCAAGCTCAGCAGACACGAGATCTCTGCACAGCAATCCTTCCCTCGTGCAACTTGGGGGGCATCAGGAGGGGCTGAGGCTTCGCATGGAGAGAGCTTCCTGATGCTGAGCAGCTGCAGTGGCTCAGCCCTGGCAGGGTGTGGGGAAGGGGACCAGAAGGATGCTGTGGTGCTGCCGGGGGGTCAGGCTGCTGGGGGGCCGAGCTGCCCGGTGCTGCAGTGCTCCTGGACTTCTCAGATTGCTGCAGGTTTTCCCATGGGCTGCAGCTCCTGTGCCACCTCCTCAGCCACATGGCCCCGCACAGCAGGGCCAGGATCGCAGGCACCTTCACACTGAGGACGAGCAGCAGGAGGGTGATGTCAAGCTGGGACCTGGGGAGGAGAAGCGAGACAACAACAGAGCTTGTACCAGGTCTGGGCAAGGAAGATGCGGGCTGCAGCATCCCCGTGCCCAGCCTCCACCCGCTCACCCTGTGGGATGCCCTGGGAGTGGCCTCAGCCAGTGTGACCCCGAGCCCCAACTCACAGTGCTGGAGGCTCCTCGCAGCCAGTGGGGGATGGCTCTGCCTTTGGCAGCGGGTGCACATCGCCGGCCTCGGCTGTGGCTGAAACGAGTGCAGAGAAGGCAGAGAGTCAATGCAGGACCCCCACAGCCCATCCCTGGGTCACCATCCAGGGACCTTGGAGGAGATGGAGGGGGTCCGTGGCCCCTGTAGGGCTGTGGGCATCACCCTGTGCTGGCCCAGTACCCAGCACAGCACTGCTGCTCGGGGTCAGCTCCATCCCTGTGGGCGTAAGGAAAGTGCTGAGAGCTGCAGAAAAAAACCACAGTGGAAGTACTGATGGCACAATGCTCTGAAATAGGATGTTTATGTTTTACTTGGAGAAATGTTATGCAAGAGAAGAGCATCACTGCTGTGATGTGGTGCAGGCACACCCAGGAGCCAGAGAAAGAGTCTCTGCTGGAGAGAACTGGAAACCTTAAGGGTGGGCTCAGAGGAGCAGAGACATTACCAAGGAGGGAGGGAGAGGTTCTGCTCTGTGCAGTGCTTTCCATCCTCCCTCTGCCTCCTCCAGCACCAGCCCCGGGCACCCTCTGCCTTACCCTCAGACACAAGCACCTCGGTTTTGTGCCACCGATTGCCTGTGATGTGCCACAGGGACTTCACTGCCCCGCAGTAGTACCAGCCCGCATCCTCTGGCATCACATCTCTCATCGTCACCGTGAATACAAGTGCCGTGTGGTTGTCCCTGATGGACACCCTGCCCTGTGTCATCGCCGCCTCTGAGCCATTGGTTTGGGCCATGTAGGAGCAGAAGATCTTGAAAAAGTATGGTTTGCACCAGACCTTGGAGTGGAGCTTGTTGCCCAGCCGATAGCTGCAGGACACCGACAGCGAGCTGCCCCGGCGGGCCGTCACCTGCGAGGGACCTGAGACCGCCCAGACACCTGCAGGGGACAGGAGAGGGGCTGTGAGCTCAGCCAGCGCTGAGGGATGTCCCCAGCCTTAAGAACAGAGCCCCCAGTGAGCACGGTGGCAAGCCAGAAGAAGCCTCTTGTAGCAGCAATACAAGGGGTAGCGCAGGCTGGAGTTGTCCGGGTGCTGCAGCTGCCAGGGGAGGATGGCGGCAACAGAGCTGTGCCCCACAGCGTGGTGGGCACCCCTGGCTGCACAGCTGCACCCCTCTGCCTCCCCTGACCCAAACATGACCCACACTTACCTGGGAAAATCATCCAAACCAGAATAATCCTCATTTTTCAGCTTCTCCCTGCTTACATGGACCCTTCCCCGCGGTGATTCACAGAGCTCCCGGCAGACGGAGCAGGCTGCTGTGTGCCCAGGAGGTTCCCAAGCCTGTTTCCCTGGGCAATGTTTGCTTGAGACCCCGTATGTCTTTTTTAAAGGCATTTGCTTCCTTCCTCCTATCCGTGAGTCACTCTGATCTCATGACCTTTCTCTGGAACCACCACCAGTTTCCAGCAAAGCACCATAATGCAGAGAGCTTTCCCAGCCGTGGTGCCCATCCAAGCAGCCCAGAGGGATTCGGGGGCCCAGCAGAGGGGCTTTTGCCACCCCCAGCCCCAACTCAGTGCAAACCCCCAGCACAGATCTCCAGTGCTGGCACAGTGAGGGCGGCTGCCTTTGTTTGGTGCAACAAGCAGAAGTGCCTTGCTTCCCCAGAAAGGTGCCTTTTTTGGCACAGATGTGGTTTCTGGGTGACATTGTTTTTCTCTCTAAATGTTTCCAGCAAAATTTCAGAACCCAAACACTCTGCACAAAGCACGGCTGTGTCCTTCCAGCGCCTTTCTTCCTCAATGCCCCTTGAAAAGACCTCAGGGCAGCTCCTTCCCACCCTGCCCGTTTGCCCCACGCTCTCCCATGCCCTTCCCTGGCACAGAAAGAGGAAGCTCTGCATTTTGTTCCTCGTAGCCCCGTTCCCAGGGACCTGGGGCAGTTTGGCTGTGAGCGGCTTCCACCCTTCTGGCCCCAGGTCACTGCACACAGCAGCATGTTCTAAGTTCAAGACATGGCCGATGACTGCTAGCATGTTTTTGCTGATAAAACTCATGGGGAATCCTGGGCAGTGAAGCCTCAGCTGCTGCCCCATCCCCATTCACCTCTGGCTTTCCTTGCTCCGTGTTCTTTCCGTTCCCCTCTCCCTGCTCACCCTGTCCACTCACTGACAGCCCCAGCACCAGCCGTGTGCCCCGTGGTCCTTTTTTCACTTCAGGATCTTCATCTCTCTGCACTGAGCCCTGTAGGGTGTTTCTTTATTGCTGTTTACATACATCTAAAGCAACCCATGTGCTGCCAAGCCAGGAGGATGCCCTGTGCATCACCATACAAAGGAATGGGGATCTGGGTTCCTCCCATCCTGGGGGCACCGCTCAATCCACAGCAGCAAAGCAGAGGAGGGAAGCTGGGCTGGAGCAGGGTCAGAGCCCCATGGCAGAGGTCGTCACAATGGTGAGACTGCAGCGAGGACACGGGGAGGGGGCTGCTGCTCCCTGCCCTGCTCAGAGCAAAGCCTGAAGGGACGCCCACAAGCGACGTCCCATAAGGACTGCAGGGAATCCTTTCGAGCATCAGCTGTTGATGTAGATTCCGTCGTCCCCCAGCTCACTGCGCTGCTCCTCTGTGTCACTGCTGTCAGTGCGGGTGCCCTGGGGGTTGCCGACCTGCGTGGCCCCTGCCCGTGCTGCACACACCTCCCTGCAGCGCCAGCACTGCTCGGGCCGGGCTCTCACCTTCCTGAGGTGCAGCTCATTGTCGTAGATGGCGTCCAGCTCTGCGGTATCGCCTGGCTGTTTGGGGGCTGCGAGGCCTTTGGTGCGAGGCGGTGGGGTTTCCCTAGCAGCCTGTCCGGCACCGGGCTGCAGTGTGGGTCACGGCCCCACTCGTGTCCCCACTGCTTTCAGCCCTGCCCCTGTGCAGCCGCAGCAGCCTGGAGCTACAGGGGACATTTGGGGGCTGTGGCTCCATGGGCCAGTTGTGCACTTACGTGATGGTGCTGCTGTGCCTGCACTGCCAGTGAGCGCAGCTGGGAGCTTCCCACCAATCCCAGGGTTTTCTGTAGGGCTGGAGTCAGGGAGAAGGGACCATCAAAGCTCACGTTCCTCAGGGAGGTAAGGCTGGGATCGTGCCTTGTCCCCTCTGGGCAGGGAATCCTAGTCGTGCTCCAGTGCCATTACCTTCCTTACTTCTCCTCCTCCTCCGCAGAGCGTGGATGAGCCCAGCAGAGCCAGCCACAGCCAGGAGGAACAGCAGCACCACGGTGGGCAGCAGGACCTGCAGGGCTAGCCTGGAGAGGCTGGGAGGAGAGGAGGGGGGTTCCTGACCCTTCTGAAGGCTGGTGTTTTCCTTCTGCAGCCCCGCACTGTGGGATGGACCACAAAGCAGGGCAAGCAGCCTGAGATCACGCTTCAGTCCCTGCTGCTTTGCCCCAGAGCACATGGGCTCCATCGTGTCTCCATGACCCACCATGCCGGGAATGTGGTGCCCAATCACTGTGACCCCACCGCACTCCCTGCCATGGACTCACCCTGCAGCAGAGATGTTCGTAGTGTGGGGGAACTCCGTTGTGGTGTTGGAGAGCCAGGGCTCAGGGCTGGGAGCTGTGGGTATGGCTGCATCAGGGACGGCCCTGGTGGGAGTTGTGCCCTGGAGGGGAGCTCAAGCCCCTACACCTCAGCTGGCAGGAGGTGAGTGCTTACCCCTACCCTGCCCACATCCCTGTGGGATGCCATTCCCAGCATCAATCTGACAGCCGTGAAACGGAGCTTTCCCAAAGCTGGAGGAGTTGGATCTGCCCCTTTTCCTCAGCTACAAACTCAGACGTTGTGTCACAGCCCTGCTTTCATTTTCAGAGGCCCTGCAGGCTCTCTGGCTGCAGCACTGTGGCTCAGCTGCAGGCTCTCGCTGCCGATTTTAGGCAGCGGATTTCCGTCCTTCCTGTGTGCAGTCCATGCTGGAGCCCAGGCAGCCACGGTGCTGCAAACCCTGCACGGGTCTCCAGCGCTCCGCATCCATCTGTGAGCACCAACCCATCTCCTGCCAACCCTGCTGCTGCTTTACACCGGGTGCCAACTGCTGTAACTGCAGCAGGGCTGAGGGGCTGTTCCCCACATCACCGTTCCTTCTTGGCGCGACCCAGCGGCCCCCCGCTCTCTGCCCAGCACAAACACGAGCCAACTCGATGCCAGCGCTCACCTGGTCTCACCCTCACGGTGACCGGCTCCATGATGTCCCTGCCTGCCCGCTCCACCCCGCACCAGTAGCTCCCAGCGTCCTCCATGCAGAGCTCCTCTACGGTGAGCAGCACCACGCAGAAGACGTGGTTGTCCGTGATGGAGACGCGGCCGTTTTGGCGCGGCACTTCTCGCCCCGCAGTCTCCACCACTTTGTGGCAGGAGCCCCGCGCGGCCCCGCGGCACCAGTACTTATTGTAGCCCTCGTAGCCCCTCGCGTACCAACAGCGCAGGGAAAGCGTCTCGCCCTCCCGGCCGCTCACCTCCCTGGAGACAACCAGAGCCTGGCAAACTGCGGAGAATCCCCACAGCACCAAAGGAGAGAAACAGCACATCAGTGTGCGGGCCGCCTTCCCCCGAGGTGCTCCTGCACAGCAGAGAGGAACCGGCACCCATCGGGGGCCCTGGCTGCCTGCTTATCCCCACAGGGCTGACACCCAAAGGGGAGCCCGCACCTGTGGGAGCAACAGCCCCAGCCCCTCAGCTCTGCCCATCCTCACCTGGGAGAAGGAGCCAGCCCCATCCTGGCCGTACCCCCATCCTCCTGCTCCACCCCACTGGCATCAGCCAGGAGCACGGTGTGCGCTGTGTGCCGCAGTGGGACTGAGGATGCTGAGATGGTGTGCAGCTCTGCTTTTCTGCGGCTTCCTTGTTCAAATTGAGTTACAGCACATGGCTCTGGTTGGGTTATTTTTGTCTGGGAGAGCTTCACCCCGGGGCCGGGGATTTGTCTGCTGTGGGAAATGAGCCTCTGAGTGGCTTTTTTCAAACTGACCCACCTGGAGGCACTGAGGCCTTGTGCTCGGGGTCAGCAGGGAGGGGAGGCAGCAAAGTGCAGCCTTCCCTGAGCCTGACTGGGGTGTGAGGATGCAGAGCCCACAGAGCACAGCGGGGTGGCACAGGGGGACCTCACCTCACATCGCTGCTGCAGGGGCAGCACACAGCACTGCTGTGAACACCAACGCATGGCAAATGTCACACATGTCTACTTTCTCACAGAGAGACCTCGTGGAGATGGACTGAAGAGACAGGGCAAGGCCTTCCATGCTGTAAGAGGGAGCTCTGCCTCTCTTTTCATTCTCCTGAACCGGAGAATTGGAGAAGCTCAGACACCAGGACGAACACAAGCACATGCAGAAGCGCCAACACAGGAGCAAGCCCCGACACAAGTAGGGCAATGGCACTGCTGGCTGCATGTGAGAGATGCTGAAATAATGCAACACTGAGGTGTGGGGAACACCCGAGTTCTTCATAAACCAAACAAAGGCATCAGCTGACCAGAAACCACCAGGCAGGAAAGGTGGTGAACAAGTGAGGCTGCACTGCTCTGTGTCTGCACGTGGAGGGGCACAGAGGCTGCACGTGCTGCTGGTGTGGCACAGGCTCAGAGTGGCATGGAACACAGCACAGGGTGAGTGCCTACAAAGGCATTCGCTGATGGAGAATTCCCAGGGCAGCTCAGTGACCTGAAAGCAGTCAGAAGCATTTTTTCAGAAAGCTACTTTTCTAGAGATCATGGAAGCAATTTTCCAAGCACATCCTTGCTGCTCTCATCAGATAAGAAGTATTGCTTCCCCTTCATTTTCTGTTTCAGGTTTGGCTTCTGGGACGGATGCGGTCAGAGAAGAGCCGGAGTCCTGCGCTGAGCGGTGAGGAGCAGAGCAGCTCAGGGCAGGGCTGCTGCCTCAGAATGCAGTGCTGCTGAAGCGCTGCTCGGTGCCCAGTGATGCATCCCGACAGGCACAAAGCAGTGCTTTCCTCTTGGCCACGTTTGGAGCTGGAGCAGAGCTGGCCATATGGCCCTCCTGCAGTCGCTGCTCTGTGGCCGTGGGACAAGGATGATGCAGTCAGACCTCTGAGAAGTGCAGTGGGTTCTGCCCTGGCAGTGGCCTTAGCAAGAAGACTGCAAGCACTGCTGGGATGGGCAGAAATTGACTCAGCTGATGCATGATTGTGTGAGAGCTCCTGGGAGCCCTGAGCCAACAGCTCCCATCCCTGCATACCTCACAGCAGCACCTCGGCTGTGTCAGACCCTCCTCTGCTCTTGGCTTCAGTGGCATTTCCTAACCCCAGATTCTCTTATTCCGTCTGGTGCCTTTGAAAAACAATCTGCACTTTTCAGACAGCACTTTCATGTTCTGCTTTGCACACTTAGGTGGAATTGTCCTGCTGAAATAAGGCTGAATGTTGCTGTAGCTAACGCGGCTCTGTTGGCTGATGGAGCACACAGCATCTGATCGCTCTGTTCTGCTGCCATCTCTGATACCCCAGATAAACCCAAATCATCCTCAGATGTGCTGATTTAGCAAAGCTAGCAAAAGAGAGATCCTTGCGGGCAGCATTGCAATGAAGGCCTTGCTGTGGGCCGTGCCTCGGGCTGACTTAGCCAGAAAGGCTGTAAACCAGGGGCTTGTTATTGCAGCGAAATTCAGGAAGCAAAACTTAACGATGCGGCGTGGAAAAGATCTGATTTTTCCTGTTTTAGGAGAAGGAACAGCTTCAGCAGGGCTCACACGGCATTGCACAAGCAGCTCAGTGGACAGAGAGACAATTAATGGGGTTGGGCAGCAGAGAATGAGTGGGAGTGGGAAAGGGAGACAGAGCAGCAGGACGTGGACCTTACAGTGCCCAGAACCTTCCAGAACCTTCCAAGGGCAAATAGACACATAGATGATCAGAGGTATGGCCTGCCAACAAGCAAGGCCAGGCAATAGGCAGGCTCACTTGACATCGCTCCTGTCATTTGCAGTCCACCTCCTCTCATTTCACTGATCTGCACTGATTCCAGCTGCTCAGCACCCACACGGGGCCATAAAGTGCTCTGCGGCCACCAGGAGCCTCTGCTCAGGTCTGTGAGGGGCTGGAGAGGTTGGAGTTCTATTTTATTTTATCTTCTGAGGTGGGGAAAGGCAGTCCTTGTGTTAAGGACGGGGGGTGCTCTGGGTGTCAGGCAGCCGAGCTCCAATTAAGCTGCTGACATCACTTATCACAAGGGGGAGGTCGTGCTTGACCAACCTGGTAGCCTTCTATGATGTTGTCTCTGGCTGGGTGGATGGGGGGAGAGCAGTGGATGTAGTCTGCCTTGATTCCAGCAAGGCATTTGATACTGTCCCCCATGACGTCCTTATAACAAAGCTGAGGAAGTGTGGGATAGATGAGTGGACAGTGAGGTGGGTTGAGAACTGGCTGACTGGCAGAGCACAGAGGGTCGTCGTTGGTGGTGCAGAGTCCGGCTGGAGACCTGTAACCAGCGGTGTTCCTCAGGGGTCTGTGCTGGGTCTGGTCTTGTTCAACATCTTCATCAATGACCTTGATGAGGGGATGGTGGCCACCCTCAGCAAGTTTGCTGATGATACGAAGTTGGGAGGATTGGCTGACAGCCTGAAGGCTGTGCTGCCATTCAACAAGACCTGGACAGGCTGGAGAGCTGGGCAGAAAAAAACCGGATGAGGTTTAACAAAAGCAAGTGTAGAGTCTTGCATCTGGGGAGGAATAATTCCATGCACCAGTACAGGTTGGGGGATGAGCTGCTGGAGGGGAGCTCTGCGGAGAGGGACCTGGGTGTCCTGGTGGACGACAGGTCGGCCATGAGCCAGCAGTGTGCCCTTGTGGCCAAAAAGGCCAATGGCATCCTGGGGTGCATTAAAAAGAGCGTGGCCAGCAGGTCAAAGGAGGTGATCCTCCCCCTCTACTCTGCCCTGGTAAGACCTCATCTGGAGCACTGCGTCCAGTTCTGGGCTCCCCAGTACAAAACAGACAGGGATCTCTTGGAAAGAGTCCAGCGGAGGGCCACGAAGATGGTGAAGGGCCTGGAGCATCTCTCCTATGAGGAAAGGCTGAGTGATCTGGGTCTGTTCAGCCTTGAGAAAAGGAGACTGAGAGGGGACCTGATCCAGGTCTATAAATATCTAAGGTGTGGGGGGCAGAATGGCGAGGCCGGACTCTTTTCAGTGGTGAGTGGAGACAGGACAAGGGGAAACGGCTGGAAACTGCAGCATAGGAAGTTCCGCACAAACATGCGCAAGAACTTCTTTACAGTGAGGGTGACGGAGCACTGGAACAGGCTGCCCAGGGAGGTGGTGGAGTCTCCTTCTCTGGAGATGTTCAAGACCTGCCTGGATGCCGACCTGTGCGACCTGCTGTAGGGAACTGCTTTGGCAGGGGGTTGGACTCGATGATCTCTGGAGGTCCCTTCCAACCCCTACAATTCTGTGATTCTGTGATTCTGTGATTATCTGTAACGGGTCAGGTCCTCAGCAGCCATAAAGTGCCATACAGCCTTTGGAGCAGCGCCCATCCATGCTGCTGGAGAGCTGTGTGCTTCTCACTGCTCCTGCCTCCCTTCTGCCAGCGATCCGCGCTGTCTGGTAGAGCAGCACCACGTTTGGCAGTAGCACAATGAAGGAGGAAAGCTCTTCTCCCCTGCACTGTCAGCCCTGCAGGGCTGAGCACATCCCCACACAGTGCCTGTGTGGGACAGCAGAGCCCGGGGCCGTGCTTCCCGCCGGCTCCTCCGCTCCTCACTGCTCTCCTTCATGACTCAGGAAATGAGAACAAATATTGCTGGAATGGAGAGCAGCCAGAGAACGTCCTGCAAGCCCTTCCTGCAGCAGAGCTGTGCCAGGAACCCCCACCCTGAAGTGAGCAGGCCTGCAGCTTCAGACCTGGTGCTATTCTGGGGGCTTCACGCCTCCTTGCTGGGACAAGTTCCTGGCCTTGGCCAGCCGCAAACCCCTGGCACGCTGGGTTGATTTTCTTCTTTTTCTAGCTTTGTTGCCAAGGCTGATCCTCCGACCTGGCAGAACCATCTCTGCTGTCAGAGGAATTAATGGGTAGATATAATTAGCAATGTCAGGCACAGACAGTAAACCAGCAATTGAATGGGTGCAGATGGCTCTTGGAAACATGGTCTGCTCCTCCGGCTGGGGGCCGTCTGCTGATCCGGAAGGAGGGGACAGAGACAGCACAACTTAAATAAGTTTCCCAGCAGAGGTTTGTTTGGTTCCAGTCTAATCAAAAGCACCAGATTGTTCTAAAGAGAGTTGTTAGTAAGAAGATCTCAATTAGATATTTACTTTCACCTCCAGGTTTAGGTACAGATCCCTCTTGTTTCTCAACACGATTTGTGTTATTTTTGGGGTGTGTTTTTTTTTGTTTTTGTTTTTGTTTTTGTTTTTGTTTTTGCTTTTTTTTTTTTCTCCTAACAAATTCCTACCTCTGCTCTCTGAATGCAGTGTGTTTGCAAAGGGAAGCTGCTGGGACAGCCGGGCACCAGATAGCCCTGGGGTTGCCGAGAAGCTGAAATAGTCTGCCCAGCATCAACCACCGCCCCGATGACCCTGCAGCTGTGCTCTGCCCGATGGCGGCATGGGTTGATGGCTGGAGAGGTGTCAGATGGAGAAGCCCTGTGCGGTTCGGGTCTCCCTAACCGAGTGAGGATGAGCTGAGCACGAAGCACTGCTCAATCAGCACAGCGGACCTGGCCTCGTTCTCTCAACTCAGTGGTTGATCGGAGCAGCAGGAAGCATCTCTGCCATCCCCTCGGGCAGCTCCCGCGGCGGGGGCGGGGAACGAGAGCAGCGTTTCCCGGTATGAGGGCGAGAGACGGCCGCGCCCTCGGGCTGGGAGCCCCGGGCTGTGCGGGGCAGGGCGCAATTTAACTGCCGGCGGAGGTGGGAGGACGAGAGAGGGACCGGCGGTCGTGCGGGAGCTGCCCGAGCCGAGGGGCGATCCCGCAGCCTTCCCGGCTCCCGGGCCGGACCGCCTCCTCCCCAACCCCGGGACTGGGAAGGGCCGCGGGCAGGGCGGACACGGCAGCGGCGAGGAGCCGGGCGCTGCTCCAGGGAGCGGCCGCAGAGAGCCGAGCCGAGCCGAGCCGAGCCGAGCCGAGCCGTGCTGAGCGGGACGGAGCCGAGCACAGCCCGAAGGGGCGGCGCCGGAGCGCGGAGCGCAGAGCCGCGCGGCGCGGGTCGGATCCGGGCGCTGCCCGCGGTGCTGGAGGCGGCGCTGCCGCTGTCCGCGGTGCTGCAGGGAGCGGCGCGTCCCGGACCCGCCCGCCCCCCCGCGGCCGCGGCCGGCCCATGAGTCCCGGCCATGGAGCCCCGCGCCGCAGGCTCGGCGGGCACCGGCTACAACGAGGCCCTGCTGCACAAGGTAGGGCCGCGCGCTCGGAGGGCGGGGGAGCCGCCGAGTGCGCGGGGGGAACGCTGGGGAAGTGCGAGGGTCACCGCCGGGGCGGGCGACCGCTTCAACTTCTCCAGCAAACTCCATTCCGCTTCTCCCCCTCGCTCCTCTTTCCTCCGCGGGGTCCATCTGCCGCCCCGTGCGGCCGAGGGGGCTCGGTCCCGACGTGGGGTGGCGATGGGGAGGGGCTGCAGGCTCGGCAGCGTTCTTGCAAAGAGGAACGAGAGGGAGCGCTGGAAAGGGGCCAGCCCAGCGGCACGGCCCGCAGCGCAGTCCGGCTGCTCCCGCTGCTGTGCGCTGCTCAGAGAGAGCTGCACCCCGGGGCTCCCCGCCGGGGCCGTGGTAAGGAGATGGGACTTCCCTGCCACGGAACAGCAGGGAGCCGGGGATGTCTGCTCCTCTCCTTCTTGCTTTAAAATCGTTGTTTTCTGCGGAGTCCCCGGGATCGTTTCATAACTCCACGTTGCACAGAGGATGACTGGAGTTGCTGCTGTCCCTGCAAAGCCTGGGTGTGCCTCAGGGTCTGCGGAAGGCTTTGCTGGAGCACAGCATCCTCTCCCCGTGCTGGCACTGCCCTGCAGCTCCAGGAGATGTGGCAGATGCTGATCTCTGCCGGATCCATGCATCTCTTTCTGTCTGTCCTCACACTGCTTCTCTGCAGCCCCAAGTGTGACTGTGCAGGTGCAGGCACCTCCAGGGAGCTGGGGAAAGGGGGCAGCTCAGTCGAATTCTCACCTCAAATCTGCCTATTTTACATCCTGCTTTACTCGGGGCAGTGTGCCCAGCCGTTGATTAGCAGGAAAATATCAATTACCACCACGCTCAGTTCTGTTGTGCACTGAGAACATAGGATGTGCCTCCAGGGATGACTCAAGAAACTCCGATTCTTTGCAATCTCTTAACTCTCTCCTCTTCAGCATGGAGCTGCTGCAGTTAAGAATCAACATTGTTGGAAATGAATTTCCAGGCGGGGTAGCTGCCTGGGCAAGTTACCATCCAGCTCCACACTGTCTGTCATTTCCATTGGGATTTTGCTGTCACTGCTGCCTGGATTGCTTGTCATGCAGAAGCAACTCTCCTCTTGCTCCTGGGACATGAGGCAGCAAATATCTCAACAGACACGGTTTCCGACCAAGGAATCAAATTTCAAGCATGCTGAAAAACCCTGGGAGAGATCATTCTAGAAACAAAGGTTAACTGATTTCTGGTTGGTGGCCAACCCTAGGTCTGGGGAGGAAACAGACCAAGAAGAAATCAGAACAGGGGTAACAAAAGTTTGTTCTGGGCTGTTCCAGAAAACTTTTACTGTTCACAAAATGACTGATTCTGCATTTGGGTGATTTGACCCATTGCCAAATTCTTCTGCTTTCCATAGGGTGCTCAGATGGAACAAGAAACGGGGAGCGAGATGTGATCCGTGGTGCTAGAGGGGGGTTGGAAGCCAGATGCTCCAGGGCAGCTTTGGTCTGATGTGCAGCCCTACAGCTCACATCTCAGGACTGAGACGCTGCCTCAGCTGCAGCTGGCAGAGGGTCCTGGGCTGTGGGCCAAGCGCACGCCAAGAGGGCACAGATGTGGTGCGGCACCATCTGGGCAAGGTGGGCTGCAGCTCCCTGCACAGCACAGGCTTGAGGCAGCACCCAGCTGCCCCGAGGAGCTGCCTGCATCCTGTATATGGAGCAGGTAATGGGCCACAAAAAGTTCTGTCCCCTCCCTGTGCTCTCTCAGCAGGCTGGAGTCACACCTTGCTGTGCTCCCATCCGTTGCAGTTTGAGCTCGGGTCCAGCCGCTGCATGCTTAAGCTCCAAACTGAACCGAAAAAGCAATCTAAAGCCACGCACTTGCTCTTCCCCATCTCATACCACCCGGCTGGCTCTGGAGCTGCTCCTCTCTAAGCTGCCTTGACAGCCATGTAAGACCTCTCTTCTGCAGGCGCTTTAACCCAGAATATCTTCTTTGCTCAGTTACTGCCAGCACAGGCAGAGGAAGTCGTTGTGCATTCACTGCTTGGGCTCACTCTCACCATTGCTCTGCCGTGTCTCTGCAGCCCACACCAACCCAGCAGGGCTGTTTGTCTGCATTAGCCCCCAATGGGAGCCGTGGGGTGGCAGAGCTGGCAGCAGTGCTGTCAGTCCGTGGCACGTTGTGCTCATTTCTCTGCAAGGACAGTGGTGGAGCAGCTGAGCAGCTGTGGGGCCACGGGAGGTGGAGTTCCTTCTGCCCACGCAGGGAATGGTGAGAGCTCCCTCAGCCCGGAATTATATACGGGTTTTGGTCCCCAGAGGGTTTTTGTGGGCAATTTTATTTCAGATCCAAAGAATCATTTGGCTGAAAACAAAAAAGGCCTGGCTCTGTGCTGGGTGCAGGAGAACTGCTCTGAGGCACTGCCAAGGCAGGGGGATACGGAGCTCCGCAGCAGTTGGGCTCACTGTGGCACTGAACTCCCCAGATGTATTTCCATTTGTTATCTCCAGAGCAGATCCAGCTCTGTGCATGGGGGGGGGGGGGGGGGGGGTGGCCCGGGGGCTGGGGAGCAGAGCGGGGAGGCTGGGGGCAGGGAAATACCCCCGGGGGGGGAAGTGAGCCTGGGGTGGGATGCTCCTCCTCTGGGGGCTTATCCTGAGCAGGGATGAGGAGCTGAGCCAGGATGGAGTGGAGCTGTAGGGCAAGTTTGTCTGGTAGGGACAAACATGGAGCATGGAGCATGGCGGAGGCATGGCTGCAGCCATGGGAACTCCCACATCCCAAAGGATGGGGCCAAGTCCACTTCTGAGCAAGAAGTCTGTGAGCAGAGTGTTTATTTTTCCTCATGTCCCTGGGAAATTGCTCAGAGTGCCTCGGTTTCCTGAAAGGATGGGAACGTCTGCATGCACGGCTTTGCAAGCAACACCCAGGTCTGGCAGAGAAGGTTGGGAGGCGTTTGTGTTCACACTGCTGGTCTCCCTCAGGCCTGGGATTTGGAGGAATGTGGGCAGGCAGTGAACAGAAGGGAAAGGTCAGGGCTGGAGGGAGCAGGGGCTGCCTGGGATGTGGAGCAGCAGCTCGGGAGGCGATGGCAGTGCTCCGCTCTGCCACCTGCACAGCCTCCGACAACAGCTCTGCCCCTTGCAGGAGAGCTTGGGGGTTTGCACGATGGGACGGGGGGCAGAAGGGCTCTGTGTGCGATGGTCACGTTGCTTCAGATGCAGCGCTGCCAACGGGAGCGTTGCGGTGGCACAGCGTTAATGCAGCGTGAGGACAGCGCTGCCCCAGAAAGGCTCCGTGCTTTATCAACACACAGCGGCTGTTGTGTGCAGCAGCCAGGGGAGAAGCTCTCTTCACTAAATCATTCTGGACCCGGTCCAGCTCTGCCAGATTCCTTCTTCCTCAGCAGGGCTGTGCACACCGAGATTTTCTCTTCCGTGTTCAGAGCCCGGAGCTCAGCCTGGGGCAGAGTTCGTGCATTGCAGACACTCAGGGTGCCGGGGTCCCTCCCCAGGTGGGCGGTGGGACCAAAGGGGACGGCAAAGTGGGGCACAGCGGGATGAGCCGTCTGGTTGGGTGCAGCGCCCAGCAAGCAGCCCGTGGGGGCGATCTGCTGTTCGGCGGGGCTGCTGGCGGCTCTGCAGTGCTGCCCCCGCTGCATTTGCTGCAGCCCCCGAAGCCAGCACCTCGGCCATGTGCTGCGCCCCAGGGCTGGGACACGCTCGGTCCCGATGTGCTGATGCCACTTCATTGATCTCTCGCAGACCATCCTGGTTGGAGACAGCGGTGTGGGGAAGACGTCTCTGCTGGTCCAGTTTGACCAGGGCAAGTTCATTCCAGGCTCCTTCTCTGCCACCGTGGGCATTGGGTTTACGGTAAGGACCAAACCCTTGGTGCTGGGCTGGGTAACACTGTGCACTGTCAGGAAATGACTCCATTGGTGTCAGTGATGCTAAGCGTTGAAAACTGGGGAGGGTTGTGTCACTGTGAGCAGAGCTCAGCCTGCTACATGCTGCTGGAGTTGTGCTGGGGGCTGCTGGGGGTGGAGGGAGGCTTAATGCTGTGAAACCTGCTGTGGTGCAATGCCCGTTGATCCCAGTGGTGCTGGGCCCATTGCTCCCAGCAGCTGCTCACAGAGTGGTCCTGCAGCAGCTGGCCGTGCCCTGGTGAGCAGCTCCAGGCCCTTGGAAGCTCAGGCAGATGGCAGCAGTGCTGGCAGTTGCTCTCAGCAGCCATCCAGAACTATTTGCAGTGCTGCTGCGGGGCTGGCAGCAGGGCTGGCACACGGCCCCAGACCTGGGAAACAGAGACCCAAGTTCAGGACCTCACGTGCAGCCCCATGTGGCGGTGTGGCAAGGCAGGCTGGCTCCTCTGTTCAGGCCAAGGAAGCAGGGATAGATGCAGGGCCGTACCCCCGAGAGGCAGAGGGCTCAGCCAACCTCCTCAACTCATTTGTCTCATGAAAAACGACAGCACACGCAGTGCTGCTCGGCCGGGCTCTCGCTCCTTGCTTGGGACGCTCAGAGCAGCAGCTCCGGCGGCACGCGGCCAGCTCAGCTCACAGCAGCGCTGCCAGAGGAGCGTGGTGCTCCCCAAAGGCGGCCCGCTGAGCCCGGTTCCACCCAGCCCTGCAGCACGCAGTCCCGTTCCCTGTCCCCATCCAGTCCCATCCACGGCCTGCTGTAGGCTGCGACCGGGCGGTGTGGGGATGTTGGGTGAGCCCTGCAGCGCAGCTCCGCGTGTCTCAGCTCCGGGCAGCCCCCCAGCAGCACAGCGCACGGAACTTCTGCGTCCCCCCCTCTCGGCACGAGCAGTTACGGGACTGGAAATACAGGTTCCATCTCTCGGCGTTTCCCGAGGGGCCGAGGAAGGGTTGGCTGCGGCTGGAGGCGGTGCCGCTGCGGGCGTATCTCTGCCATCGGACCCCCCGCGCCGTGCCCGCCCCCGGCTGGGGGAGCAGCGCGGGACGCGGCTCCGGGGGCGCAAACGGGGGTGTCTGATCCCGGCGGGGCCGATGGATTCGCGCTGGGATCGGCCCAGTATGGGGTCGGAAGGACCGCTGTGGAGATGGGTTGGGGGTCCTGGGGCAAATCAATCGGAGGTGTTGATGGGCACCGCCTGCCGTGTCTCCAGCAGCCTTAACGCGTGGGCTCGGATGGGGCTTTGCGGAGAGAGATGTTCGGGTAACGCACCGTGCTCAGCCACCCCTGCGGGACCTCTCCTATTCCCATGCTTGGCCTTTTCCCAGATTGTGCGTGAGATGAAGGTGATCCAAAGGTCCGTGGAGGATGCTGGGGGCTGTGTGAGGGTCCCGCGGGGGACAGGAGCCCCAGCACTAATCTTGTGCAAGACGCAGGCGCAGCACCTCGCCGCAGCCTGTGGCTTCCTGCTAACGGCCGCCGCTGGCTTCCTCTGCGCCTCGGGGCTAAGGGGGGGCCCGCAGTGCTGGAGTGCCCCCACCCTCGGAGTGGGCTTCGGGATGAGCAGGGGCAGCCCGTACCCTGCAAGCCGCAGCCCCCACTGATGTTGCAGCATCCCTGTGGGGCAGGGGACTGCTCAGCTGGGGGTGAGCGGCCTCTTCTCCCCATTGGCGCTCTGGGACAGGGATCCGGCTGCACCTCCTCTTCCTCATCCCGCGTAGGGCGGTAACAGGGCCGGAGCGCAGCCCGGCAGGAGGCACTGCCCGAGGTGGAGGAAGAGGAGGAGGAGGAGGAGGAGGGAGGGCCGGGACTCCGCAGATCTGCTCAGACACACCATGAGCGGAGCAGGGGGCAACGGGATCCCCCCAGCATCCCTGCAGGACTATGAGCTGGCTGGAAAGGTGGGGGGCAATGAGGCGATGAAGGCCGGGGGGGACCTGGGGCCATCTGCTTCATCTTGCTGCGCTGGGAAGGAGCAGGGCTGAGGGGGGGGAGGAGTGGCAGGGGGCAAGAGGAGCAGCATCTCACTGCTGTGAGGGAAAGGGCTGCAGTGGATGAGCACAGAGGGGAGCGCAGCATCGGGGCAGAGCCTAGAGCTGTGCCGGGTGGAGCAAGGCAGTGCCTGGCTGGGGCCTGTTTGCTTTGCAGGAGGGGACAAGGCACCGTGTTTGCTTTGGTGTCTGTGGCAGGCAGGGCCCTGGGAATCCAGCAAGGTTTGTCCAAGCAGGGCACCGGCACAGGGCTGCCCCATGTAACCCCATACCCACGGGCAGTTCAAGGCTGGAGATGCTCCGGAGACAGTCAGGAAGCACTTCTCAGTGCTGCGTCCCCAGCGGATCCCTTCCCTTCTCCACTGTCTGCTCCTCTCCATCGGGATGCGCTGCGGGGCTGCACCCTGGGTGCCCTACAGAAGGACGTGCCCTGGGGACAGAAGGACGCAGGGTCGGGGCAGAGGGGCCGCCCTGCTGACACCTCACCCTGCGCCCGTCTTGCAGGTGATGTTACTCGGAGACTCAGGCGTGGGGAAAACCTGCTTCCTGCTCCAGTTCAAAGACGGGGCCTTTCTCTCCGGGACGTTCATGGCCACCGTGGGCATAGATTTCCGGGTGAGAGCACAGCAGCCTGCCCCAGTTCTGGATGTGTGAGCCAGAATTCCAAGTTGAGGAGTTGTTCTCAGCAGATCCTGCTTGCTGAGGCCATCAGATCTCGTCCAACCACCCCCCCTCCACAACCCCCCCCCCCCCCCTACCGTCTCGTTCTGTTTGCTGACTTCAGCTGATGCAGCGTTGTAACATGCAGGCAGGAAGAGCGGTCCGCACCACACGGGCTGAGAGCCGGGGGGGGAGCAGTCCCATGCCCATTTTCTGAGCTATCCCTCAACTGTTGTCATCCCCTTCTTGCCTGCATTTCCACTTCAAACAGTTCTGTGCAACCAAATTGTTTATACTCATCCTTATCACTGGAAGTGCCATTCTTTAAAAGATCCTGAAAATACTCTTTGGGCAAGTTGCCTTTTCACTTGCACCACACCGGCGTCTAGAAGGAAGTCCCTGTGCTTCTGCATTCACAGCAGCAATTGCTTCACCCCCAGAGCTGCCTTCCCCACTCATTGCCCAGCCTGTGCTGGGGGTGGTGGGATCAGGGTTTGGAGCAGGAGCAGCCCCTGAGGCGCAGTGCTTCCTGAGCAAAGCTTTACATGGGGCAACCATCATAAGAGTAAACAAACATACAAATAAATACACATTTGTTTGCAGTTCATGCAAGACCTCGCACTTGCCCAACCCTGCAGGGTTTCCCACAGCCAGGGTGAGGGCTGCAGGCGTGGGGCTGCTGCTGCTGGGCAGGTCGGTGTGCCTTGGGGTTTGCCGTGTCATTAGCTGGCTCACCAGTGGAACAGGGAGCTCTTGGGAGATGAGCAAGATCTGAAGCAAGTTGGGCAGCTCAGCTCCATGCCCTGAGCAGGGAATGCAGAGCCCTGCACTGGGCAGCTCCAGTCCGGGATGCACGTCGTGCTGACAAGCTCCTGTCCTTCTCTCCTGCAGAACAAGGTGGTGGCTGTGGATGGGGTGAAGGTGAAGCTGCAGGTGAGTTTTGGGAGTGGATGAGCAATTCCCAGCCGCGCTGCCCAGCCCACACCAGGCTGAGCCATGGGACGTCCCCTCCCACCCTCACTGGGGCGTCTCCCAGCAGATCTGGGACACAGCAGGACAGGAGCGGTTCCGCAGTGTGACCCACGCCTACTACAGGGATGCCCAAGGTGGGTTTGGGGTCAGCGGGGCTGAGCCCCATACGTGTGCTGCCCTGCGGCATCTGTGCCCTCTGCCCCTTCCCTTCCAGCCCTACTCCTGCTCTACGACATCACCAGCAAAATGTCCTTTGACAACATCCGCGTGAGTGTCCCCACTGCCTGGCACGAGAGTGTCTGTCCCTGGGGTTGGGGATGTCTGGGTTGTGTGGGGCGAAGGTTCCACCTCAACGCAGTTCTTGCTGTCCCCACAGGCCTGGCTGACAGAGATCCACGAGTATGCCCAGAGGGACGTGGTCATCATGCTGCTGGGCAATAAGGTGCATGCGTGCCCTGGTCCTGCCTCACCTCCCGCCGTCCCTTCCCTGCCATGCTGTCCCCACGGCCGGACGGGGCCCTGGGGTTCCCTGCCGGGCTTTCCCAGGCACGGAGGTGACCCCAAAGTGCTGGAGGGCTGAGGGCGGCCGCGTTCCCGGCAGCCAGTGGAGGGCAGCACGGGGCTGAGCGCCGGGTGTGGGAGGTTCCTAGTGCGGATGCTCCCAGTCTGGGATGCTGCTGCACGGGTTGTCCAGCTAGATCCCGGATGCACGTCCCCAGATCTCAGATGCCCAACCGTGTCTCACATTGTCTCCTGGGGTCTCAAACGCTGCCACGTACACAGGGTCCAACTGGGAGCTGAGTTTTCCCCTGGTTGCCTCCTGGAATTCAGAATGATGCTTGGTACCAGATGTCCCTCTGGGTGCTGAATGCTCCCTATCCCAGATGCCACCAGGTGTCAAATGCTCAATGAGCTCGGCATTCTCCTCTGGGCACTGCGGGTTCCTGGCTCCCTGAAGCCAGCTCCTGGAGTTCCTGGAAGCCCCCCCATGCTGACAGGGCACAGTGGTGATGCTGTCCCTCTCTCACAGGCCGACGTGAGCAGTGAGAGAATGGTGAGGACAGAGGATGGAGCCTCACTGGCCAGGGTGAGCTGAACCTGAACCTAATCTGGCCACATCCCCTGCTGCACGCCATGGTGCCCCAGACACTGGCACACGGCTTGGGGACTTCACGGCTGTGCCACCTCCTGTGCTCCATGCTCTATGTGGCACAGGCAGCACAGCACTGGGGCACAGCAGGGAGGGGATGCAGGAAGGGTGCAGTTCAAAGTGGTGTTTTAGGGCTGGATACTAATGGGCCCGTTCTGCCCTCCCAGGAATATGGGGTGCCCTTCATGGAGACGAGTGCCAAGACCGGCATGAATGTGGAGTTGGCCTTCCTGGCCATCGCCCGGTGAGTGCAGGGTGGGGTGCAGAGCAAAGGCTGTCCCCACAGGGTGACACGTCCCCACTGTCCCCAGGGAGCTGAAGCAGAGAGCGATGCAGCTGCCAGACGAGCCCCGCTTCCAGATCCACAACTACATCGAGGCGCAGCAGAAGAGATCCGGCTGCTGCGCCTTCGTTTGATGGGGACAGGAGCAACGCCCCGGGAACGGCGGGCTGGGAGGAGCAGGGCCGGATCCTGCCTACGATGGAACAGAGGGTCACGGCTCTGCTCCTGCAGGGCTCTGAGCAGGATCGGATCCCGTTGCCGCGTGGGGCTGTGCCAGGATCACCCCGAGTGCCCCAACCGCGCTGTCGGCATCAGCCCAGCCGATCACCGGAGGTGATGCCACCGCTGCCCCAGCAGGACGCAGGGTGCAGGATGCAGACCCGGCGCCTGGCTCCTCCCCTGCTGTGCACTCCATGCTGCACTCCTCGGCCACACAGGCCCCGATCCGCCCCGCTGCCCTCTGCAGAGCCGCTGGCCCTGAGCGGCGCCCCTCACCACCACGTGCTGCGGTGTCCCTGCCTGTCCGCCCTGCTGCAGTTGGCACCACAACATGCAGACAGCCCCGGAGCACCCGGTGATCGCCGAGGGCACTTCCAGTACACGCAGCACTTTGGAAAAGCTTTGCTTTCCCCCTCTTGCAGCTGAAGCTTTTCTATTGTTATTTACTTCCCTTTGAGGGGAACGCTTTTTTCTTTCCGGATGGGGCTGAAGCAGCCCACGGGTCGCACCCTCGGGCGCTGTGCTGCACAGGGCGCGGAGACAAGGAATATTCGGGTGTGCTGCTCAAGATGCCAAGGGCAGCTGCAGAGGGCACAACTCTGATGCAGTTGGGGTCAATCGGGCACATCCATCCCCACGAGGGCCCTCCCTGCCCCGCAGCCCCCTTCACTCCTGTGCTCCCCTTGGATCTTTCTTTGCAAGTGTACAGATTAAAGCTGGATATTTTCAAGGCTTTGCATCTGCCTGGTTTTTCTCTGCGTGAGAAATCCCTGCCCCGGGCCCTCCACGTGGGAGGCTGTACAGCACGGCAGGGAGCGGGATGTGGGGCATGCAGCGGGGGAAGAGCCCACAGCCCCCTCCTCCTCCCAGCGCTTGGCTGCGCATTTCAGACAGTCCAAAGGTGAGAGGGGAAGAATAAACACGGCCTGTTAAATTAAAACCAACCTCCTCCCCTGCTGCTCTCATAGTGCGGAGTCCAGCATTCCCCAAATAACTCTGTCTTCCCACCAATGGCATTGCTGCTGCCTCTCGGCTGATGTCTGCAAAAAATGCTGGAGAGCTTCAGCACAAGCAGCCGTTGGCTCTGCGCTGTTTCCCACCCCTCAGCCCGGGCTCTCCCAGCGCTGCAGGAGCTCTGCAGGCTCCTGCCAGGATTCGGCCGTGCTCTGCCGGGCGCAGATGGAGTCCGAGCGGGACTCAAAAGCAGCGCTGTCTGTTTCCTTTTCTGCTGCGTTCGTTCCTTATCGCAGCCCCACGCTGCAACCATCCCTATCGGGGCCGGGGTTTGTTTCCTGAATGAGAGGAGCGTTCCCCAAAAGCGCACCCTCCCTCCCCTCTCCGAACGAAACGGGAGCGTTTCTCTGCAGCCCAAGGGGCCGCGCCGGGCTGACGGCTGCGCGATGCCACGGGCTCGCCCTGGTTTTCTCCGCAAGCGTCTGCTGCCGCCGTGGGATTCGTTTCGGCTGCGTTTCTCAGGGCTGAGCGGCAGCGGGGTGAATGCTCAGCGGAGCGGAGGCAGCGGCTGACCCCCCCTCACCCCCCCGCTCCGCCCACCGCTTCCCAGTCCCCTGCCACGTGCTGCGGTCGGGGCTCGCTATGGATGCCCCCGCTGCCCCCCGCTCGGTTCGGACGCGGCTCATCGCGACGCCAACCGCCCCGCAGCCCTCCGGCCGGCGGGAAAAGACCGAGGGCAGCACCGCCCTCCCCGCTCGCAGCGCCCGCAGCCCCGGCTCGCCCCGCCCGACCCCGCAGCCCCGCGCTTCGCACTGCCGCGACCTCCCGTGACCTCCCGCCGCTTCTGCTTGCGGACTGAGCCGCAGTCCCGGGGTTTCCCCGGCTCCCGGCCCGCGCCAGCAGCCCCAGCGGCGCCCGCAGTCGGTGCCTGGCCGGGCCGGGGCCGCTCGGAGCGGTCGGGCCGCGCTCCCGCTTCCGCCGCGCAGCGATCCCGGAGCGCTCGGCCCCCCGCGCTGCTTCCCCACCCGCGCTCGGCTCTCCCATCCGCTCGGTGCGTTTTGTAGCTCCCCGCACGCATTCAGCACCGGCTTTGGAGAAACTGCGAGGCGCGGCAGCGGCGTTAGCGATGCTGGGTGGGGCGGGGGGACGCGGGGCGACCCGCGGGAACGTTGCGGCTCCGCTGCCCCCGCGGTGCCCGCGCCCTCGGGGCCGCGTTTCCAAAACCCCGCCCACCCTCTATTTGCATAACAACGCGTCAAGCCGTCTGTTATTTGCATAACCCCGCCCTGTTCGGCTCAGGGCCCGCCCACTCCCTCTCTAATTGGACGGCGGCCCCTCGGGCCCCGCCTCGCGCTCTAAAAGCCGCCGCCGGGCGCGGGCGGCCTCACACGGAGGGGTGCGGGCCGGGAGGCGACGCCGCCATGAGCAGCGCTCCGCCGGGCCCCGCCGCGCCGCGGCTGTGCTGCCTGGAGAAGGGCCCGGACGGGTACGGCTTCCACTTGCACGGCGAGAAAGGCAAGCCGGGCCAGTTCATCCGGCTGGTGGAGGCGGGCTCGCCGGCCGAGCGCTCGGGGCTGCGTGCCGGGGACCGGCTGCTGGAGGTGGACGGAACGAACGTGGAGCGGGAGAGCCACCAGCAGGTGGTGGAACGCATCCGTGCCGCCCCCGGGGCTGTGCGCCTGCTCGTGGTGCAGCCCCAACCCGAGGAGCAGCCGCCTAAGACCCACAGTGACCCCGACGGCGAAGCGCAGCGGGAGGTGCCGGCGGCGGAACCCCCGGTGGCGGAGCGGAGCGGAGAACCCGAGGAGCGGGTGAGTGCGGGGCGGTACGGGCGGCCTTTGCTGTCCTGTAGGGCCGGGCGGTCCCGGGACGGTGCCCCCGGTGCTCTCCTCCCTGCTCCAGTCGCAGCACGTCGGGTCGTGCCCCTCCTGCTCCGTCTTTGTGTTGCAGGAGGAGCGAAACGGGGTCAGGCGCGCGAGGGGGACAAGGGGGGGAGGCTGATGGCGACTCGTGGGCGCGGGGTGCTGCCCAGTCCGTCCCCTGTGTCATCATCTGTGCTTTGGGAGCTCGGTTTGGTTTTGCTCCGGGAGTTCTGAGTTCCAGCCCCAGCCCTGCTGCGTCTTCACCTCCTGAGAGCAGGTGCCGGGTTGCCCCGAGGCTTTTGGCGTTAACCGCCTCTAAAATGCAAAAAGCGTTTGGCAAGGGGAGGTGTTGTGCTGTGGCTGCTCCTCGTGCCCTGAGCTGCGCGGCCTCAGCCGCACTATGGGGAAGGGGAGCACAGAGCCCTTCGGTGCGGACCGACACGGTTTCAGAATGTCGGCCTGGAGCAGCACGTAGGAGTCAGCGGTTGCACAAACAGAGCGATGCAAAGGGGTGAGGAATGGAGACCCAGCTGACCTTTCCTGCCCGCAGCAGTTTCGAAGGAACGCTTGGGGCTGCCGCGGATAATGCCGCTTTTTGTTTGCTCGGTGAAAACAAGTATTTGTTGTTGCGACCGAGGCGCTTCCTGGGAAGCTGTGACACAGAGCCGTGCTCGGCTCCTGGAACCCGCCCGTAGTGCCGACGTGGTGGCACTGCTGCGGGGTTGGTGCTGAGTTCCGGATGGACTTTGGTGCTGAGCTGCCCTCCTGCAGGGTGAGGTGTTGCTGTCACCCGATGCTGACTCTTCCCTTGCTGTAGGACGCGTGAAAGCATCGCTCCCGTGGGCCGTCGGTGGGGTCTGGCGGCCACAGCGGTGCTCGTCGCCCCATCTGGGGTCACAAGGCTGCATGGGAACGAGCAGGCTCTGCTCCCCCGGCATCCTCCACGTGCCACAGTGCCGGCGTCCCCTCCGGCCACCGAGTCCTTCTGTGCTGTGCGCAGGTCGCTCCGTGAGCTGGAAGAATTCATGGGGCCGCGGCTGATGCGGCCGGGGGAGCGCCCTGCTCTGCCGCGGGGCCGCGCAGCTCCGTGTGCGGGTGGGACGGTTACCGTGCGGTTACCGCTGACAGTTTGTCGGTACGGGAGCAGGAAGTCGGTGACGCTGCTGACATGGGCTGATACTGCTGCTCACCCGCCTGCCGCCCGGGTGGTTTCTCAACAGGTAGCCGGAAGCCGTGGGGCTGGGGCTGGTTGTTCCCAGCCTGGGGAAACCCGGAGCGGCCGTGCCAAGACAGCGCACTGGGAGCGGTGCCACCGAGCGGAGGGAATTGTGCCCCTGGGCTGCGCCCTTCCTCCTCTCTGTGGGGATTCTCCCAGGATCGGTGCCGGCAGGGAGCACAGGAGGTCTGTGTGTGTCAGAGTCCTGTTTGCTTTGTGGGGCAGGGCTCGCCTTTATTTGCATGCAGGCTTGGAGACGCGTGCTGCCAGCGGCCGGCTGTCAGCCTTCCTGCTCTGTGCTGCTCTGCTCCGAGCGTTTAACGCTTCAGGCAGGATACGACCCCCCCAAACCGAGCAGCGTCGCCACGGCTCCCTGCCCTGCATCTGGATGCCACCCCAGTGGGAAGTGGGGAGCTTTGGAGCACCCATGAGCGCACACCCCCTCCCCCCCATAGCAGGAGTGGTGTTAGAGCCCTGGCAGTGGCACCAGGTGGCTGAACGCAACTTCAGCCCCGCTGCTGGAGGGCTTTGCACCGCACGGGACCGTCCCCTGCGTTTGACTGTGGGTGGCGGCAGCCTGCTGTGTTTCCTTTCCCACCCCCCACCCCCCCCCTCGCCCCACACTGTGTTTCCGGAGGCTTCAGCTGCATGCGAGTGCTTTGAGACAGCTCTGTGCAGCTGCCTGGTGCTGCTTCCACCACGGCACGGCTCCTGCTGCCCAGTGCCAGCTGTGCCCGGTGCACTGTAGTGCTCAGATGCTGAATGCAGTGCTTGCTCCCCTGCAAAACCCATCCGAGCCCCCCGGGTGTGGCTTGAAGTGTCATGGGGGCAGCTGGGTGCATTGTGCAGGGAGTTGAACTGGGAAATGAATTAAATTTCTTCTCGAGCCAACTGTGCTTGGGAGCAGGAGTGGGCTGCATGAAAAGCAGCTCCAGCCCGGCGCTACGTGACAGGGATGCCGCAAGAGGCTGCTTTGCATCCCCTTTGTATGGGGCCCCGGTGCGTGTGCCAGATTTCAGGACCCGTGTGAATTTGCTGGCCTGGCTGTCCTCGCAGCCCATGTTTCTTTCTGAGCAAAGCTCAGAAGGTGGCTGCTGTGGGCTGCCTGCAGCTTGTTGCTGCTCACAGGGCTGCGGGGAGCTTCCTGCAAGCTGGGGCTGCGGCTGCTGCTCTGCAGGTGTCGTTACTGTACTGGGAGCTGTGGGCACTGCAGGTGTCTCCTATCCCTCAGGTGGGGGGGAGATCTTCTCAGAACCCTCGCCCCAGGGCAGCCTGTTCCTATGCATGGAAGGCCTCAGTCTCTCTGCACAAGGGACCTCTGCTTGGAGGTGCTCCTGCAGCCACGGATGGAACCCGATGTGCTGCAGCTCTGCTCCCTCCAGGCTCTGCCAGCTCTGCTTTTTGGGCTTGGCTTTGGGATTAAGTACACCACGAACCAGCTGGACCACGCAGCAGCCATGCTGGTGGGTGTGTTGCAGTCCCATGCAGAGGGCAGGGGAGGCACTGGGCAGCTGCCGGCCAGCACGTGGGCACAGCTGGCTGCTGGCACATCCTGTTGTCACCTTTGGTCCCCAGCTGGGTGTTGGTGAGGTGTGCTAACCTGGTGAGCCTTGACCCCACAGTATTGTGCAACAGGGACGGGGCTGATAACAGCTGTGGGACCGTCACACAGGCTGTGCTTATCAGGCTGCTGCCAATGTGTCACCCTCACCAGCGCCTTGTGTCTCTCCTCGGTGCCAGCCCCAAGGATCAGGGCTGGCCAAGGGAATTTCGTAGCATGATGTGGAGGTGCTGTGGGCAAGGAGCAGCACAGAGCATGCATGAGGGGGAATTCCTGCCTGTCCCTGGGGCTGGTTTGGGTTCTGAAGTAGGACAGATAAAGGGAATAATAAGTGATGAAACCCCTTGGTGAGGGATATTTTAAGAACTCCATTGTGGCTTGGCCATTGGAAAATCCCTCCCAGTGATCAGGAGCTAACGATTAAGACAGTGTCATTATATATCTATTATCTCGGTAGGATGAGAGGTGATGGCTCTGCACTGTGCCAGGAGACTCAGGTTGGGCATGAGGAACAATTTCCCCATAGAGCAGCAATGCTCAGGGAGCAGGGGAGCGCTGTGGGGTTCCCAGCACTGAGGGATGCGCTCAGTGGGGAGGAGTTGGGTTGGATTTGTTATCTTAGAGGTCTTTTCCAACCTTAATGATCCCATGATTCTACAAATGTGGAACAGTTGGCCATCGAGTCAGGCCAGGGTGGTGCCTCCAGGAGGTGAATGCCCCACGTGCTGCTGCTCTGCTCCGCAGGTCCTGGTTTGCTGCAGCTATAGGTTGGGGTGCTCCGTGTGGGTGCTGCTCTGTGAGTGCCAGGGTCCCTTTGGTGCCGCCCCCAGGCAGGGGGTGATGCAGTCTTTTTGTCTGCAGGACCTCTGGCCCGCGACTCCTGTGTGGGGTGGAGGTGGGTGCCTGCCCTCCGTCCAGGCTGCTTCCTCCTCCACCTTCACCGGGCAATCTTAATCCCGAAAGGAAGAGCCCTGTCTGAGGATGTGCATAATGACAGGCTTCCTTAATGGAACGCTGCAATTACTGTGCCCTGTGCCTAATTAGCTGGGGCCATGGCTCGCTGGCTGTTCTGATCTCCATGCCTGGCCCACATGGGTCTGCAGCCCTGTGCCATAGCGGGGTGGGTCTGAGAGCAGCCATCTCATGGCCGTCCCTTCGCTGTGCCCTCGCAGGAGCTGCGTCCCCGGCTGTGCCACATCAAGAAGGGCCCCAACGGCTACGGCTTCAACCTGCACAGTGACAAGAGCCGCCCGGGGCAGTATGTGCGCGCTGTGGACCCCAACTCACCAGCCGAGGCCGCGGGGCTGCGCGCCCAGGACCGCATTGTTGAGGTGGGTGATGGGGTCGGGGGCAGGCCGGAGGTATGGTGTGTCCCTGACATACGGGATGGGCGGGCAGTGCCAGGGCGTTGCTCCCCTGGGGCATCCCCTGCTCTGAGTGCTGGTGGTGACTCAGAGCAGAGCTGCTCCACCCCTGGGTGCAGCCGGGCTGAGCCCCGCTCTGCACGTCAGCCTCTGTCAGCGATGGAGCACCGCTGTCCTGGGGCGGCAGGGCGCAGATGTGAGGGCGTGCGGTGGCTGTGCGGCTCCTGGGCTGGCAGTGCTCACCACGCTGGGGACGGCCGCCCCGTGCCACCCAGACCCTGGCGCTGCCCCGCTCCCCATAGAGCCCTGTGCTAATCACTCTGAGAAAATCTGCTTTTAATGAGGTTTTGCTGCTAATCCCCGCACGTCTCCGGACATCCGTGGGGGGCTGCAGCCGGTGCTGGGCTGAGGCACGTCCCCTGTCACTGTGATGCCCACAGGTGAATGGGACGTCCGTGGAGGGCAAACAGCACGCAGATGTGGTGGCGGCCATCAAGGCGGGTGGCGACGAGACCAAACTGCTGGTGGTGGGCATGTTGGCCGATGAGTTCTTCAAGAAGTGCAGGGTTCTGCCCTCGGAGGCGCACCTGGCAGGTGGGTCCGGTGCCATCCCTGGAGCTGGGTGTGGGGTGTCCCCTTGTGCAGGGACGGGGGACTGGTTGGCACCTTCCTGCCTGGCCTGCAGCTGGCACGTGGCTGTGGGGTGTGTGCTGGGCAGGGTTTATGGCTCTGCGGGTTACACTTTGACAGGACTTATGGCTCAGGGAGTGAACAGAGGGCGTGTGGGTGTCCTTCACTCAGCTCCAGCCTTGGCTCGACCTTGGCTCCCTCCCTACCTCTATTGCTGGCAGGATGCGGCCCTCACTGGCCGCCCCAGAGCTGTCGTGCCTATGGGCGTTGATGTTCACGGCCCTGGTGTGAGCCTGCCCCCCACCTGACACCATGTCCTCTCTGCAGGTCCCTTGCCAGAACCCATTGCCAATGGTGATATAGAGAAGGTGAGATAAATTCCGTTTTTTGTCCCTTCTGAATCCCACCTACGATGGTCTGTAGGAGCCTATAGGTTTGGGTGCCCCTTTATCCTTTGCCTGTAGGCGTTTGGGTGACCCGTGGTCCAGGGATGAGGCCCCCATGCTGTCGCACAAGAGCAGGTGCCATGCTGGGAAGGGGAGTGGGAAGTTGTGGCCCCCAGGAAGGGGTTTGCTTGCAGGTTTGCTTTGCTTGCACAATGCTGCCTGGCCGGGAAGGAGCCCTCATGCTTCAGGGAAGCAACATTCCATCCCACAGCCCTCCTGCTGCTGCTGCAGCTGGGAAGTCAGGTTTAATCCTCCCAACCCTGCATGGGCAACGCAGGAGGTGTTTATTAGCACGGAGCTCTCAGCGGATTACATGCAGGGAGGAAGGATCTGACAGCTGCCAGGAGGGACGGCGGCAGCCCCGGGGATGGTTCCCAAACCTCAGCCCCTCTTCCTGCTCTGCTGCCCCCAGGAAAACGGCAGAGAGCCGCGGCTGAACTCTGTGTCAGAGAGACCTCCCAGCCCTGCGCTGGCCACGACCCCCGAAGGCAGCGAGACCCACAGTGAGGTAGGGCTGGGGATAACGGCTGAGGAGGGGGGATGGGCAAAGCCCCCACGCCGAGGCTGAGCTCTCTCTCTCCACAGCCCGATATGCAGGAAGGGGACAAGCGCAGCTCTGCGCCCAACTCCCTGCTGGACCTCGACATCCCGCTGGCCGTGGCCAAGGAGCGGGCGCACCAGAAGCGCACCAGCAAGCGGGCTCCCCAGATGGACTGGAGCAAGAAAAACGAACTGTTCAGCAACCTGTGAATCCACCCTGCGGCAGGGACACCGGCTCTCCCCCATCCCCTTCGTCCCCACCACCCTGACAGGGAGGACGGGGCTCGGGGTCAGAGAGCATCCCTGCTGAGGATGGTGATGGTGCCCTCGGTCTCCTCCAGCCCTGGCGTGAAGCTTTGTGCGCCCGGCTGTGTGTGGAGCTGTGGGGAGGTTTGGTGACTCGGAGTGGCCGGGTTTGATGCCCAGTGCTTCTCATCTCCTCTGCCAGCTCTTCTTCTCCCATCCCAAAACCCACTTCTGTTTCACCCCCTGATAATCTCCCTTTCTTGAGGCTTTTGGTGACTTTCACCAAGCCCTATGCTGCAGCAATTCCTCCTGGGGTTGGCACTCTTGACCTTGCAGTGTCCGTCCACGATGACCCCATCCCTTCATTCCTGTGCCCCCGGAGCTGCCCTTGGAGGCACTTGGGCATCCCACAGCCCCTGCCCCAGGGTTGTTCTAGGAGAGGAGAGGTGTCTGGAACCAGCACAGCAAGCAATAATCACCCCCTGTGCTGCTGCTTCTCCTGGAGACAAAGCCAATCACGGTTTGCATTCTACACTGCTTAGTTCAAAAGGGTTCTCAATAGACTGTCGTCTTTGTCCAAAATGAGAGGTTTTCCAATCACGTGGTTTGTTTTTTTTTTTTTTTTAATGTATTTTGTGGAAAATTCTTCCCGTGGATGTTTTGTTTCTGTGTTTTGCAATCAGGTGTTGTATTGTCAAGCTGAAGAGAAATTCTTTACTGGAATAAATGTTCCCGACTTCACATGTCCAGCTGGAGGCCAAATCCTTGCGGAGCTGTGGATCCCAGGGCACAGTGCCAGGGCGCAGGGGCTGCAGGGCATCATCCCTTGTGAAAGTGGCTGTGCACACTGAGTCCTGGCTGTGGGCAGACACCTGGAGTCTGAGTTTGTTTGAATGAACCCCTGGAGGAGTCGAGCCGTAGTGAGCTGACACGGGGTCTGGTTTGGTGCAGGATGGAGTAATGGAGAAGGCTGGGCTGGTCCCAGTGCGGCTTAATGCCTTGGGACGATTAAAGGGCTTTAATCCCACAGAGGGGGTGGTTCCAGGCTACCGCGTGCCTGCTCTAATCTGCCCAGCGTAGGGACGTGGCTGCTGGGCTGGAGGGAGGCAGCGTTGCTGGGGGCTGCCCCAACCCCAAACTGCCCCCACTGCCCCAATGAGGTGTGGGCTGAGCCCAAGCACCGGGGCTGCATTCTGAGAGCAGGCTGGAGGCGGGCAGGGCGCTGCCTGTCCTGAGTGGGGCCTCTGAGTGCTTTGGCAGCCCGGGGGCAGGGGCTGACCCCTTCTGTGCAGGATGGAGCCTGCAGCTGAAGGCTGTGAGGCTGCGGTGCCCGCCATGCTGGGCTCATACAGCTATTTTTAAGCCCTGTGTACTGGGACGGCTTATGCAGCTCTGCGCTAAGCCCTCCTGCTGCAGCGGAGGAGCGTGGGGGGAACGGATCCTTCCCTGCCAGCAGGAGCGTGGCTCACTTGGAAATCCCGAGCACTGCGGTGTGGATGTGTTGAGCCACCCTCCCTCAAGGGGTTTCCAGGACAGACCTGATGTTGTTTTGGGTTGTCAGGGTGAAGGCTTTTCCCGGCTGCCGGGGAGGCAGGGAGTGCCCTGGCGTTGCCTGGACACCAGGGATGCCGAATGCAGTGCTGGCTGATGCCGAGCAACCACTGCGCTGGTGCAGCTGGAGCAGCACCCTGTGTCCTCAGGGTACGTGGAACTGCGGCCCTCAAAGCAAGGCTCTCATGTGAAACAGGATGAGAAAACCCTTGAGCTGCCCTGTTCCAGGTTGGGCTGGGCAACGGAAGGACAAGACTGGTCTCTTATCCTGCCTCTTCCAGTTGTTGCTGCTGCTCCAGAGCTGGGTGAGGGCCAGAAAAGCAGCTTCCAGGTGGAGATGGATGTGAACCCCCAGGGATGCATTCCTGGTGCGATGGGAGCACTGAAGGAGCCTGGGCAGCCGCTGTGCTGGTAGGGCTGCGTGCTGGCAGCAGTGAGGAGTGCCTAGGGTAGGCTAGGAGCTCATCAGCAGGTCCTGTGACCATCCCCAAACCCCACAGCAGTCACACGGGGTGGAGCTGCCGTGCTTTCCAGCATCAGCACCCATTCCCTGCATGCACTTACCCACAGAGGACTTTGTCCTCCCAGCTCTTGAATGAAATAGCCCTCAGCCCCCACCTGGTGTCAGGAACCTGCAGGAGTCAAAGAAGTGCTGACACTGCGCTCTGCTGGAGGTAAGGTCATCTTTGATCCTTCTTCCAAGCCTGGGGAATGGCTGTGACAGCGCCCAGCCCTCCTGCCTCACGCACAGCACACGCTGGGCTTTAGGAACACTGCTCAATTTCACCACCTGCATCTGCACGGAGATGTGTGTCCCCGTAAGCCGAGGCCTGGGGGTGTGCTTTGTGCTGGAGCAGCGCGTGCTGCTTCCGTGACCCCAACCCCTTGGTTAGAAACCCAGCGATGCTGCAGCACCTTGCAAGCTGGTAGTACACAAATGCTGCAAACACTGCCCAGGGGGATTCTGTGAATCCATCCCTGCCTGCAGCAAGGGAAGAAGAGCAGGAGGATTAATAGACCTTGTAACTTTAATCTCAGCTGGAAGTGAAGCTGCTCTTTTCTTTATCACTGCACAAAGCTTTTGCTACAACAAAATCAATGTTAAATACTTGTGGTTTAAAATACGACACACGCTTGGTTCCTGCACTTGGTTTTAACATTAGTCACAGGATGATTTTATTTGAATGAACTAAAAGTGGGAAACTACAACTCACAGGTCCTAAAAATACAAAGTAACACTAAAAACTGTAGAGTCTACCAGATAATAGCCTTCAGATTTGCACAGGGATGTCATTATCTGATACCTTATACCTGGAACAAATCATTTCTGGTCTAAAATTAGCCTCTCTGGCTGCTGTTACAGTGGGAAAGCACCCAGGAGCAGCAGTTAACCTCCTTACCTTTTCTTTTAGCTTCCCTGCTGTGGAAAGCATGCTGAGTGGGGCAGGAAAGGTCAGGTTAAATAACTGCATTAAAAGTCTGTCCAGTGCTAGCCAGACAAGCACCTCTTCTTTGGGAACAGGCCTCTGAAGTATCACAGGCTGACTTCCCCTGAAGGTGTCTGCTCCAGTAGCAGTGCTGCCTCACCCTCAGCTCACTGGAGAGCAGCAGGCTGCTCCAGGCCTTGCAGAGGAAGTCCTGAGCCGCCTGAAGGAAGGAAGTCACCATTCTGCCTTCTTTCAGGTGTGTCTTTCTTCTTGCTGCACTAACAGCAGACCCAAGAGCATCGTTTTGCTGATGGCCTGAGGTCTCCAGGGCCACACACATAACAGCCATCAGCGTGCCAAAGCAGTTCTGAGCTGAGCAAGAGATTTTGTCTCCAAAGCCTCCTGCAGCTGCCAGTTCCCTTCTGTAGAGATCACAGAGACTGAGCTCGGCTCTCGCTTGACTTGTATTAGCGATTTTAATCATGTTAATAGTTTGACAACTCCTCTTTGTACTCCTATGTTCAATTAGTGGCCGTCAGGTGGGCTCAGAAGGGCTGTGCCATCTCCCTGCACTGTGTCATCTTTGCTTCTAAGAATGATTTCCTGGCCCTCTTTCAGCTGAGCACAGCACTCAGGTGCTCCTCACTGATTCCCCATCCCCTCTGGATCATCCTCCAGAGCTGAGAGGTGAACCAGCGCCTTCCTTCTGATCGTGCTCACCCCACACCCCATTAAAAGGGGTTGAAAGAGTTGCTGCAGTCTTCTTTAACTTCCAGCTAGATTTTCACCAGCCAAAGAAAGCCCCACTGCTCCCAGATTGCTTTCAGAGGCACCTGAGATTTTTATTTTTTAATCACTATTTAACAGAGGACAGATGGAGCTACCTGAGCACTCAGGTTTCCTCTGCAACAGTGACAAATCTTGCTCTGAGGGCAGAGGAAGTGGGAACACGGGTTGCTGCTTGTCCAGAAACTGGTTGTGCCAGGAATCAATTAACTGCTGGTGATCCCATTGGATCCCAATGTTAAAGTCATGGAGTTGTTCCTAATCCAGTCTGTGAATTAGCGGCTGTTCTCCAGGTCCAAACTTCAGGCAGCGTTCTCAGCTATTGCAACAAAGTGGAAAAGTGACAAGATGACAAAGGAAACAGATCAAAACAGTCAAGTGCAGCCCTGTCATTCACAGTCAGACCTCACAAGGTCCAACCTTTCCCTGAAACCTGGCTCTGTCAGTTTCCTGCACCCCAGCTGGCAGCTTCTCTTCAATGTAGCTTTTCTTCTTCACATGCTTTGTCTGGTCCAGGAGCCACTGTTTCTCTTGGTCACTGACATCCAGCCTCAGTGTCACCTCTTGGAAAACACTGTTCACAGAAACCTGTCCACACAGAAGAAATAGAGCTCCATTCCAACCATAGAACAAACACTGCTCACATTGGGGTTAGAAGCTAGGCTGTCAACACACCTCCTTAAAATGAAGCTTCTTGAACATGCAGATGCTGGCTTCATTTTCCTGACCAATCTTCGCCTCAAATTTGGTGATGCCTAGGTCTGTCACTCCTACAAAAGAAACCAGAAAGACAAAAATTACTGTTACCTGCTTGGCTGCCATATCTACAAAGACACAGGGCTGCAACTTCTAAGGCAGATACTCCTCTTAATACCCTGTGTACATCACCAGGAGTTTGCGCCTCCTGACCACAGCACAACTTTACCCTTGCCTTGAGCCATCCTTACCATAGGACATCATCATCAGAGTCGCCTCCTTGCCAAATCCTCTGCCACGATAGCTGGGTTCTGAAAGACAGAGCTGCAGAAGTCAGCATCCCGTTACACGAAACAAAGCATCTGTGCTGGATGCTTTTCAGAAAATACCGTGACCCAGAGCAGCAATGAATGCCATCCAGGGCTGAACAGTCAAGGTAATGCAATGAGAACAAAACACTGCAATCATATCTGTGATTCTGTGATCTGTCTGTAGCGGCCTTTAGCCAAGGTGACAAAGACCCGAGGCAGCAAGCAAAACCTCACCTGCAATCATTATTTCAATCTCGCCCAAAGTTGGATCCTCAGCGTCAGTGAGGAAGAGATTGACATCCCCCACCATGCACTCCTCATCCCCACACGCCTGCTCAGACCACCGCTCTGCGTCCAGCACGATGAAGGTGCACTCTGGGGAGAACAAAAACACTTTTTTAGGGCACGTTAAGAGTTACTTACGCAGTACTGAAGGCTGAAAGTAAAGCCGTGCAATGGACAAAGTGACAGCAGTTTCTACATGTTAACAATGAGGAAGTGGTAATAGCTGAACTTTCCGTCTCCAGCACACCGACTCCCATCGCTAGAAATGGAAATCACTAGAAATCACTGCTTATGGAGGCACTAAGACTAGAAACAAGCATGGAAGGAGCACGGAAATCCTCATTCCCTGACGGAGGTCTCATTGCTTTCTCTTTCTGCAGCAAGTCTGGGCAAAGAATTGTTTGGTGCACAAGACATCAAGACTTAGTGATTCACCAGTCAAACTGCTGCTTTCAGCAGGGCTTTTAATGCCAGCTGAGACAAACGTTCCAGGCTGAGATCTTCACCAGCCTCGGTATTTTGCTGCTCACTGTACTTCTACAAGGCTTTTATGGGCAGTGATTCATTACCTGTAACGCAGCCAGGGAACCAATTCCGACAACACATCTCAACCAGGTAATTATAAAGCCATTCCGTTTCTCAGGGAAAAACACAACTCCCTTCCATGCTTTTATGACAGTCAGAACTGGGGAGTGGTGACTGTGCAGCATTATCAGATAATGCTGCGTAAAGCAAATCAGTTATCTTTGAAAAACCACAGAAGGAGGACACCAACAGCCCTGGATGTTCTCTAATTCACTGAGCATATATTGGCTATAAATACGCCCTGGCCTCCCTAGAAAGTCACCACAGCTGTGCTCCCCTTGCTTTAAACTGCCATTATTCACTCCAAATACTGAAAATGAAGGAACCCACAAAATACAGAAACTGTAAAGATGAACAGAGTAAGCCAATGTGCTGCAGCACTAAGGCAAAGCTGTCTGCTGAACAGAAAGCCAGCCTCTGCTCTGGTTGCTGGCAAAGCCCACTCAGCAGGCACTCCCAGCCCACTGCGTGTCCCTTCCAGCACTGAAAGGGTCCCTGTCAGCCCTTCCACCCGCCCTCAGAGAACATTTAAGACCCTCACTGTCTGCATCATCCCTCCAGCTGCGCTGCATCTCGTACTCCTGCTCCAGGCTCAGTGGTTCTGAGGCGGTCAGGCGCTGCAGCTCCTCTGACTGCATCCACTCATGGTACCTGAAAAGAGACCCAGAACCAGGCTTAATGACGGTACTGCAGTCAGATTTCCACAAGTGCTCCGAGGATCTGCCCGTCACCTGTCAGCAAGCTGGTCTAGAAATGCCAGCCTGGCATCCACAGCACCTTAAAAGCATCTGCAAATCTCTTTTTAATATAAAACAGGGATGGGCATTCCCCTTGGACATTCAGCAACGTCTGCTGATCCTGCAGCTTTGTCTGAAGAGCGCCGTAACGCGAGCCTGAGCCAAGAGCACGGACCCAGCAGCACCAAGTCCCACCGCATCTCATACTGATTTCATACAGCATCACCGCTCTGCTGACACCGGAGTAACTGCACACAGCCCGCCCGCACAGCGCCTCTCCTCACCCAGCCGTCCCCGGCAGGGAACGGCATCAGCGAGCGGACATCCGGACACGGAGCGGCGAGGGTCGCGCGCTGCAGAGCGGCCATCTTCCTGCAGCGCAGAAGCGAAGCCGGACAGCGCAGAGTAGCAGGGCGAGAGCCGCGTACCGGGCCACGTGTGCCGGGCCGTACGGCACCAGCGTCACCTTCCCGCCCTGCAGCGCGGTGCTCTGGTTGATCCTCATGGCCCCGCTGCCATCGCCGGGCGGCCCAGGGCAGGAGGAGCGCTCTGGAAGGCGGCTCGGCGGCACGGACTCGTAACGGACAGAGCCCGGCTCGTAGCGATGCCCTCAGAGCCGCCTCCCTGCGAGCGCAGCGCCCTGTCGGTGTCGCGGCACGGCGGGGCCCAGGGGGGCGCTGTGTCGACGCGGACGGCAGCTGACCGCTACCGCACGCATGCGCACAAACTCCACTTCCTTCCTCATCGTCATCGTCGCGTCCGCTCGGCGAGCACGTGACCGCACCTCATCCCCCAATCGCAGGCGAGCTGCTTACACCCCTCTCTCCCCATTGGAAACGGGCCGGTCACGTGTGCGGAAGGAGCCCCCGGCGGGCCGCGCGTGCGCCGTAAGAGCCCGGTGGGGGCGGGAGCTGTGGCTGCTGAGGTACCGGGGTGGGTCGGGGCTCACGGGGCGGCTGTGCCGCTGTGCCAACCTCGCCGTCCTCTGCTCGTGCCGCAGGGCGCTGCTCTGCCAGGAGAGGCGTGTGGCCGTTGCTGTGAGGACGGCGGGGAGGGCTGCGCTTGGCCGGTGCCGCTCGGGATCCCGCCGGGTTCCCCGGAGCCGCTGCTTTGGGAGCCGCGGTTCCCGGAGCGCCGCCCCGCCCGTAGTGCGGCTCGTCTCCGCGCCTCGGAGCGGCTCGATGCGGGCGGAGCGCCCCGAGCTGTGCGTGGCCGAGGCCGGCTCGAGTGCCGCTCTTTCTGCTGAGCTGACGCCGCATTGTGGTTTTCCCAGGTTAACGATAGCAGAGGTTGAAAACGCCGCCCTCGTTTCTGCGGTTCTCCCAGCTGTCTCGCCATGGCCGGCGGCATCACGGATACGGGAGAGCTCTACTCTCCGTATGTGAGTACCGGGCTCGGGGCTCACCGCTGCCCTGCGTGCGGCCTCAGTGCTGCGGGCTGCCTGAAAATAAGAGCGCAGACGCATCCTGGACCACGAGGGCTGCTGTGTGCTGAGATACGTTTTGAAATGCGTTGAGAGCGGCGCTGTGCCGATATCTCTGTGTTCTTCTGCCTGCTGCTCTCGTACTCTGCTTCCATCAGCGCACGTTGTCACGTGAAGCTTCCTTAAAAGGGGAAGCTGTCGTGTGGAAATGATGCTGGGTTTGTCTGAGCTTTGGGTTTGTTTGATGTTCATCAGATTACTGAATTCTACCTATTTGTAACTGTTCTTTCAGTCACTTTAATCCCCTTCACTTAAAATAATCAGACACGATATTTCTGCTGTAATGTCCTGTGAATACACACAACCAGTTACTCCTTTGCTATGTTGCCAGAAACATGATTTTCATAGCCACAAGTGTTCATGTAGTGTCAGCTCTTAATGAGTGCTTGCAAACACATTTTCCCCTGCTGACATGAACTCGCAGACTGCTAAATATAGAACTAGTACTGAAATCAACATCGTTGGCTTTCAAATACTCTAAAGTGTTCATCCTTATATTAATGATTGAATTTAGAGTGACTGGAGTTTAGGCTACAGAAATAGGCCACAGCTGGGAGAACAGAGAACAAGACAGTAACTGGGACATCTGGGCTCCTAAGGGTGGATGTCACCAACTCTTTCATCCTGTTAGTGTTCCAGGAATCGCACAGAATGCTATCTCAAAGTGTGGAGCACTCTCATTTTTCCCTGAAGACACCCAGCTACTCCATGTACACAGCAGTCCCATCTCTGCCTACTTGACCAAAGTCAGAAGCACCTGAGTGTTTTATTTTAGAGTCCTTCAGTGATGTAAGTCACAGCCCTGGGCACTTGAGCAGGAGCTGTGCTTAGGGAATGATGGCTGTGCTGGCTGAATGAAAAGGGCTTTCTGACAAGCTGTGATGGCTGATTTTTATCCTGGGAGAACCACTGAAAGATGACTCTGCTGTACTGTTAGTAAATGTAGGACAGGAGCTCTTGCAGGATTTGTAGGAAATAGTTCTCCCAGTGTTCATTTCTCCACACTCAAAAAAATGCGCTCACATGCAGCTCTTTAACTCTTTGCTCTGGAGTTTCCTCCTATATTTAAAGCAACAACAACAAACCAACAAATGTTGGGGCATTTCTTGATCCTGATTTCAGCTAAATTTAGTCTGAGATGTCTTCTCCAGGTACACAGTTCTGTTTTTGCTCCTGACTAGAAGAAAAATGCTTGCTAGGGATGGTGAAATACTTTCCTTTCCAGAAGCACGTTACCTTTTTCAGAGTGTGCTGATCAGCTTGCTGGTAAAATGACAAGCAAGCTATAAATTACAGTTCTGCTTGAGTGTGTCCTAAGAATAGTGGAGAATAAGGCATTCTGAAAGGGAACTTTTGTGTGTAGCCATAATTAGTTAGACTGAGGTCAGAAAATAAGGAGAGACCCAAAACCGTGCTGTAGAACTCTTCTGGTAAAAGGCAATGGGTTTGAAAACAAACGAAAAGCTCATGTGCTTTCTAACTTTGAAAGGTAGAAACGTACTTAAAGAATTAGAAAAACAGAGGGGTATCAGTTTCACAAATATGTGCTGTAACTTGCTTTGTTCTCTGTGGTTATCAGTGTCCTCCTGTGTTTACCTCTAACATGGGCTCACACTTAACTTGCTCACAGCGACTGCTCTCTATTTAAGTTGTTTGTGAGGTGATGTGGATGATCTCTGGCATAGCTGTAAATTCACGTTGCACTGTGTGGATGATTGCAGGTTGGTCTGGTTTACATGTTCAACCTCATTGTTGGGACAGGAGCCCTAACCATGCCAAAGGCGTTTGCAACTGCAGGGTGGCTCGTCAGCCTCGTTCTCCTCATGTTCCTGGGCTTTATGAGGTAGGATGTGAGTGTGTGTCTCCAGGACACGGGGGGGTTGGTTAGATGGAGCTGTATCAGTGCTGAGGCTTATGCTGCTTTCTGAGTTATCCTGTCTCCCTGCTGTTTGAGCCCTGATCTCTGCAGCTGTGTTGCCTGCGGACCTTATTTGGAGGGATGCTAAGGCCCATGTCTTGTCTGATGAAGACTTTTTCTCTAGTCTGGAGTCTTTTGGAAATGTCCTGTGCTTGCCTGTGTCACTGATAATTCCCTAAACATTAACCATTTATAAGTTGCATAAGTTGATCACCACTGCACACTGGACCATTTATCCCCTCGCCTGTTGCTGGACTGAGATCTTGGAGCTGGTCTCATGACTTTCGTGCTGGCTTGCCATGAGCTTCTGCCCAGATGTCTGTCTCCTTGCTGGAACAGCAGGTGGAGCTGAAGACTGTTGGTAGAGCAGTGATGTCCAAATAGCTTGAGATTCTCTGGTTATTAATAGAATTTCTTCTGGCTTGGTTTAAAAATAAGAATAAAATCCCCCTGCTGCTGATTGTAGAATCAGGATTCAGAAGTTTCTTTCTTGTGGATAACCAGTTCTGTCAGCTTGGACGTGCCTTTGGTCTGGAGGCAGTGCTCTTGAGATTTGTTAGGTGCTGCTCTGTAGAGGTAGCCACGCTCAATACTAATTGTATTACTGTTTCTTAGTTCCCCACCTCAAAGCTGCATGTTTCATAGGCTTGATTAAAATGTAAACCGTGGCAGAACCAGGGACTGGTAGATTTGGAAGCAATCCCTTTGGAGAGTTATTGAAAAATGTCAGTTTATCTTCTGAAGTGCAGCAATAGCTGACGAGCCTTCAAGGTCAGCGGGAGAGCACAGCCTTCCTGGGTACTGAAACCACATCAAAATAAACTGGAAACACAGATGGCAGTATTAGGATCCGTGGGAGCTGTGCTGCCCTGCTGCTTTCGTTGCAGTGCTGGTGCTTGTGACTTCCCCTTGCCCTCTGGGGACCCTTCAGTGCAAGAGGAAATTGCTGGGTGGGCCTCAGGAGAGGGCTGCTTTCTTTCATTCTGGCAAAGTTGAGCTTGATAAATGAGTCCCGTTTGTGAAACAGTGGAAAACCACTTTAAAGCCTTAAATAAGATTAATTTGACTTTTTTTATTACAGGACTGTTAAGCTGAGATAATGACATTCCTTCTGTGGATGCTGTAACAGTGCCCCTGGGCCGTGTGGCTGCAGCCAGCTGTGTGCAGGCACTTGTGGCCTCCCCTTGTGCTGTGCTGCTGCTTTGCTCCTAATGCCATTTGTAACATCTGTAGGGTGGGTTGTGCCTTTGCCAAAGGCTGCAGTGGATAAACTTTGTAATAATATGGTGCTACTCTTAGGCCCTAATTCCTAAAAGAGGGAAGGAGGCTTGCTTTCTAACAAAGGAAAAGCTCTTTTTCTTCCTAACACCACTAGCGAGGTGTTTTCCAGATGTTTAATGTCTCCTTTTAGCTAAAGAAACGTGCATTTTTTTTTACTGCATTTTTTTCTGTGGTTGAACACAGAACAACAAGAGGAGATAGCAGCACTGGTGCTGATGAAATTCCTTATGAAACAGGCAGTGTGCAGGGGGTAAGGTTGGGGGAAATAGCTGTTTGGTTTGTTTACTCCTGCAAGCATTGAAAATTACTGTCATTTCAGCAGTACTGCTTGACTATGGTTGATATTAACTGAATATCTCTCTCAAGCTATATGACTACTACTTTTGTGGTGGAAGCCATGGCTGCTGCAAATGCCCAGCTGCGATGGAAGAGAATGGAAAAACGCAAGGTTTGTGTGGGTTTAACTTTCCATTTTTCTGGAGTTCTTGTGTCACATAAGGCTTGCCTGAGATTCCTTCCTGTCTTTGCCTCGCTTCATTAGTAACTCCATTAAAGGAATAAATTTCTACTCTAGTTAACTTTGCTTTGTAAAATATGGCTGTTGCTTCCCTGTGGGGTTGCTCATTAAAGGCAGGATTTTCTGCTCCAGCTTTGAAAAATCCCTTGTGCTGCTCTCATCTCTCACTGATTGTGCTCTCCTTGCCCTGAAGCACTGCTCAGTGAGTGTGGAGAGGTGGCAGCCAATGTAGTGGTGCCATTTGGAGTGTCTGTAAATCCTTGCTTATCTCAGGTCATTTGACTGGGACAGGCAGGAATGTCCTTGCTGCCAGTAAGGATGTATTCTAGGGAGTGGACAGTCCTGAGGAATGTCCTTGCTGTAAAATTGACTTGTGGCTTCTTGGATTCTGGCGTTAGTGGCTTTTCTGGGTCTGGGCAAGGTATAATTGCAGTGATTTAGGTTCCTGCCTGTATGTTAGTGGGCTGGAGTTATGAGATGGGTGTTTCTCTTCTGACTGGCTGTGGCAATAAAAACGTCAGGACTTTTTTTTTAAACCAGTTCTGCAACTGTGTGGATCTGACAGGTTCTTTTACTTCCTTGTGCCACATGTCACAGTGTGTATTGGGCAGTGTTGCTGTGTGTAAGGCCTGCTAGGACAGCAGAGTGTCACTCACCTTCGCCTGCTCTGCTAGCACTCATTTCTGCTCTCTGCAGCATCCCAGGTGTGGGCTGCCAGCTCCCTGGCATTGCTGCTGTTTGCTGGCCTGTCCTGCCCTGCTGGGGATCTTTGAGATACTGGAAGTGAGACCACGGTGCTGGTGATGCTGTAACTCTTGTTGTGGTTGGAGGAAATCTCAGCAGTGGTCTGTCTGATCTCTTCTTCCAGGAGGATGATGAGGATGAGGATTCTTCTTCTGGAGTGTCTGACAGTGATGTTCTCCTCCGAGATAGCTACGAGCGAGCAGAGACGCGGCCCATCCTGTCCGTTCGTAAGTACCTGCTCTGTGCTTTGACACCTGGTCTTCACAGACTGCGCTCTGGTGGGCTCTAGGAAGTGCAGTAGGGCTCTTCTGTCCATTTTGCCCTTAGTTCTGTATATTTGCATCCCAAAGTCCTTAGCACTTGCAAGATAAGACTCATTGAGAATTCAGTTTACCTTCTGCAGTCTGATAAAGATCTTTTCTTTCTAAGTCGCTAAGATGAGAGTACCTTACTTTGAAAACGCTTTGACTTCAGCAGAGTCATTGGACCAGTGACTGCAGCTGTGCAGTGGTAGATAGTACGTACTGACCTTCATGCTGTTCGTAGAGCTGCTTGAGTGTCTTCAGGCAGCCTGGCCTCTGGGCTTATTGGAGGGTCTGGTTGAAGCACTTCTTGTTTTTAACTTTCAGAGAGACGCGGATCACCAAATATCTTTGAAATCACAGAAAGAGTGGAGATGGGCCAGATGGCTTCCATGTTCTTCAATAAAGGTAAGTGATTCATGTTTTTAAGTCCTTTCTGGTCCTGCTGTGTATTGTGTACATGTCTTCCTCAAATCTGAGTGCTCCTCATTGTGAGCTTGCATCCTGAGTTTCAGCTATATACAGCAGTAAAGGTCACTAGTTCCATCTTGGTAGCACCTGAGAACAAGATGTTTGGTCCTCCCTGAGCCCTGTAAACCTCCATCTGAAGGATAGGAGGCTTCTGGGGAGAATTCCTAAGAACTACGTGTGTCTGGTGGGGGGCTGACACCAAGAGAGCTGCAAGGGAACGAGCTGCTGGGTTGGAAAGGTTTCTGGTGAGCATCTGGTAGGCAGTTGTCTTTTTTTGCTGTTAAGTATCTTTGATTGTATGTTAGGGAGCAAGCCTGTAACTGCACTGCGATAAAGCCATATCCACTGCTGTGTGTAATAGAAATGCAAGCTACAATTCTGAAACTCGGTGAAGAGTGCACTTGAAATGGTGTGCAGAGCCAGAAAGTCATCAGACATTATAGATGTGCCGTTTTAAGCCTGTCAGGCTCCATTTCTTGTGGAAAGTAACGTTTTCCCTCGCTCACTGGCCACCTTACAGAGGCATGGTGGGCTGTTTTACTCCTCTGCCTTATGTCATCTTTATACCAGTGTAAGACTTTCTCTGAGGGACAGCTGGGCTCAAGGAGCTACATTATTGCTGGTCTTCGGAGTCTGGTTGAAAATAAGCTTGACTTCCCTGTATGCTCTGCTTCCTTTGTCAGCTTCCGTCACTCAAGCATCAAAACCCACACTGAATCAGTGCTACTTTTCTACTCACAGTGGAAGAGAGGTGACTTATCCGTGTGCTTGGAGATCTAGAAGCATCTTGTTCCTAATCTTGCCTGTTGTACTGAGTTACCCTGAGTTTGGATGAGTTTTCTTGTGTTCCTTGCCATCTGTAAAACGCTGCAGATGCTCCCCTACCCCTCAGTAGTCATCTGAGGAGCAGCAGTATTTAGGTCTTGCTTTGAAAGAAAGTATGTTGTGGCTTATCAGTGTCACTGGGCATTCGGCTATGGAGGCTTGCTCAGCTGCTGACAGGCTGGTGGAACACAGGCGGTAGGGCTCCTGTAAGCAAGCTTCAGAAGGCTCTTGTCAGGCGCTTCAGGAGGACGTGAGGATGACCCCTCAACAGGGCCAGGTATTGGAATATTGCCCTCTGCCTTGCTGCTAGGTGATCGCAACCAGTAGAGGGTGCTGGAAATACACGGCCTCTGGTGCTGGGAAACGTTTCCTAGCAAAGTGATATAAACTGCTTAGTGTTCTGGATGTTAATCCCTCTTCTTAATGTTGCTTTAGTGAGTGATCTGACTTTTGTGTTAAGGATCTTCCCTGGGACTAACTCAGCCCAATGCCAAGGGATGAATCTGCAAGAAGTCAGCTGGAACAGCAGCAGACCATGGCTTGAAACATAGCTTGTGAGAGGAGATGACACTTGTGTGCAGTGAAGGCATGGGGCAGCTGTCACTCACTTGCTGCTTTGCCTTCCTCTGTGCTTAGCAGTGGGCGGCTGCTGAGCCCTCATTCAGAGACACTTTCTGGTCTGCTGTGCAGTTGCAAGAAGGGATGAGCAAAGTCCCTCCCTCTGCAGGTCCTTGCTGAGGTGCTTTCTGCTGAGGGTTGCACAGAAAGGCCCTGACGAAGGACAGTTGCTCAGTGACCAGTTGCTGCTGCATAGTGCTGAGGAACTGGGCCGTGCTTGGGGAGTCCTGGCTCCAGGCACCAACCTCTGCACTCTGACAGCTACCACATGAGTGAGCGGGCTTTTCCCACAACATGCAAAGTGTGGATACAAAACCAAGGCCTCTGTGTCTGGGCAGCCTTCAGAGGGAAGGCTGAGGAAGGCTTTGCGACAGACCTTAAAGCCTCTGATATCTATCGTTCTCTGTTCTTTTTTCTTGCTTTTTTTCCCTTAAACAATCTGACAGGAGTTGAATCTGCAGTCCTGGGAGGTAAGCTGGGGATAAATCTCCATCTCAGACTGTCTGCTTTCTTAAAGGGAGCTGACCAGCTCAGGCTGTGATGGTTTGTGTGCTCTTTCCATAGAGCTGGCTCTGAAGGACGCTTTTTGGTGTGGTGCATTTTTATTTTTTTTTAATTTGCAGTGTTGGGTGCTTTCTTCTGGGACTGAGCAGTCATTTATTGCAGTAATGGATTCTGGACACATCTATCATGCTGTATCCCCACAGGAAGTCATTGATTTTCCCATTTTTTGTCTAGTAATGAAAGTATTGATTAGGGAGGATCAGTAGCAGTTTATAAAAGAATTGGCAATAAAGTCTTCCTGCCTTTGCAGGGATGAGTTTTGTGAGAGGGCCGTCATCTGGGCTGCACAGCCGGTGTTGCAGCAGGAGCGCAGTGCTGGTGGATCGCTGGTGCTGCAGCACGGCTTGTGCGAGCCTTAACGCCTCCAGGGAGTGTCTGAGACCTGACATCCAGGTCCCCAAATCAGAATCTGTCCCAGGCCTGTCTGTTCCCGTGCTTAGTGGATCTTGCGACGTCCGTCCTACATCAGAAACTTGTTATAACATCCAACCCTTTCTAATGGAAATTGGAGAAAGCTGATGGAACTTGCTGTTGTCTTCAGAATGATGCAGACTTCTTAGCTGTGCAGTCATCCAGAATCTTTCATAGAGCTGGGGGGGTAAAGACAAAGGGGAACCTATACGGAATTGCCTGACTGTATATGAAGGGGAAATGTGATGGCAAAACACACGGTGAAACGTTGGGGCTCTCTTGAAAGAAAAGAATCTGAGAGTCTCATCAATCATCTCTGATTTCAGCTGCTGATTTCAGCTCTCCATGCCAGTGTCTCCCTGAGTCCAGGCAAGGCTGTTTTCTGTCTCCCATGTAAGAACTTCTAATTCTCGTAGTTAAATGCAGAGCAGACATAAGAAAACAAAAGACCAGGGAGCAGGAAGAGTGCTTTTCTGCTTTGCAGGTTTGAAGTCTGAGTCAGGATGGTGATGCTGAGGAATTCCCAAACGCAGTTCCACTTCAGCCCTGTGGAAATGGATCTCTGCAGGGCCAAAACCTTAATGTGAAGGAACTGAGGGTTTGCAAGCACAGGGTTTGGAATCAGTGGAACGCTATAAAAGTGTGTGTTTCTTCATTTATCTGTTCTTCAAGCTGCGTTCTCACCAAATCTGTTGCCGTCAGCTGGATGTTTGCCCGTGGTTGTTCCAGGTTGACAGTTTCACCTGGCAGATGACTTGGGTGAGGCCTGTTGGCCTTGACTGGTGACTGCAGGGTGGGCTTAGATGAGTGCCTGGTGTGAAGGCAGGTGGTTCAGCGCTGAGGCATCGGTTCTTATCAGTTCTTGAGCTGCAGCGAAGTTCCCTATGCTGCTCATGTGACCCTTGTGTGGAACGTGCTGCAGAACTGAACTGTGGAGGGAAATTGTGATTTCAAGACCTTGAGAAGCAGTTCTGCGGACTGTTAATTTAGAGTGTAAAGTTCAAGAACCCCTGTGTACTGTAAGTCAGTAAAAATGTTTCCTTTTCCTGCAGTGGGTGTCAACCTCTTCTATTTCTGCATCATTATCTACCTCTATGGGGACCTGGCAATCTATGCAGCGGCTGTGCCAGTCTCTCTCATGCAGGTGACCTGGTAAGTGTGCTGGCTGCTGTGCAGTTATGCAGTACCAGAAAGGAGAGCAGGTTTTTGGTTTTGATGGGATGATAGGTCTGACCGGGATCAGTTCTGCCTCCTGAGGGCTGGAGCAGACAAATGACTCAATGACTCGTGGCTGGGAAGGCGAAGCTGCCACGTACAGGAGCCTGCTCCAAGTTTAGCTGTTGTTGGATGTCTGAAAAGCACCTGACCTGATTTCCTCAGTCCTCAGCTGTGAAGTATTGCTAACTTCTGCACCTTGTAGACATGGGACTTGTTGTTCTCTGGTTTGATTGCTGTTCCCTGTGCAGTATTTTACCTTTTATGACTCTGATTATGAGCTGAGACGTGTGATGCTTATCAACCCTGTGATCATTGTGACACTACTTGTCTGAAGCCCAGAGCTCACTGAGTAAATGCAGCCAATTTCCTCCTGCTAAAAAATAACCAATGAAGGAGAGTAGTTGGATTGAATCTGGGCTGGGCTGCCCCTGGTCTCAAGACTTGGAAACGGAAAAGCTTGATGACCCTTATGTGAGCTTGAGATTTGCTAATTCTGAGTGTCCAAGTGTCTGGGCGCAATCAAGGGGTTTGCCTTCAAACGCGCAGTGTACACTGACCTGCTGTGTTACACAGCCCAGAAATTGAGGAGTGCATGCCCTCGTGGGGGGGGGAGAAGCATGCAGTTTGGGCCTCTGACCATTCCTCTTTCATGAATGCAGGGAAGGGGAAGGCATCTGCTGGGAATTAATTACCGTCTTTTGTTTCTCCCTCCTCCTTTTCCAGCAGTGCCATTGGCAACCATTCCTGCAGTGTTGGAGATGGCACAAAGTATAATGATACAGACAAGTGCTGGGGGCCAATTCGAAGGATTGATGCTTACAGGCTGTATCTGGTAAGTTTCTGAAAGTGCTGTGACCTTTATTTCCCATACAGTTTTCTTTCTGCTGGGTAGGGTTCTTTTCCTTGAGGTAATGTGCATGTGAGTAACAGAATGTGAAGCTTTCCGTTCAGTCCGGCCTTGTTAGCTAAGCACTTTGTCTCTAGCACGAGACATGGCTGTGTTGCAGTTGGCTCATCGCTTCTGTTCTTGATGGTTAGTATTATGTTGCCTGAGTGGGTGATGTGTCTGTGCCCATGGGGTGTCCTTGGTGGCTGGCTGAAGTAGTTGTTTTGAGATGATTGTTCTCAATGTACTCAAGTATGTTCACGTCTTTTGAGTGCATTCTTTATGTGAATAAAATTGTTTACGCTGCTGGAAAATCTGCTTTTTGAGAGGTGATGTAAACAGACCACTTAACACCCATGCTGTATGCTGCTTTAGTAGTAGCTGGTTGTCTAGTTCAGGATTCTTCATAGCATCTATTCCTGAGCTGTGGTTCTGCTCCGAAGCCAGGGGTTTCCCAAAGGGTAACAAACACTGCTGGACTCGTGTTTGGCAAAAGCTGAGTGCTCAAACCTGGGGATAAGTGTTAGCAGAGCAAAATGAGAAGAAGGTGTAAAGCAGTGCCTCGTGTGCACTTTGGACAGTGGTGTTAGAGCTCTCAGTGGGAGTTTTAAGAAGAAAGAGGAAGGAATCTGTGTTTGGAGATGCCTTGTGTGCGGAGAAAGGGGCAAAAGCTGTGTGCAGCCATTTAGCAGTTGCTGCGTTTTGGACGTGCAGCAGATCACATCTGAGTGTAGCATTATTGCAAAAGTAAGAGCTGGGATTCAGAAGTATTACTGAATGTCAAAGCCTAGTTAATTATTTAAGAGAAAGATTATTGCTTTATTAAATTGTCTTGATCTCCTTCCTTAAAATTTTCACAAGATTGAGGATTTCTTCCCTGAATCTCAATAACTCTGCCTGACCCAGCAGAATGAGCTAGTCAGAGAAAGCAGGCGTGTGTTAATTATTGCCTGTGTCTCTCAGATATTATGTCTATAATTCATGAAGATAATTGTTAAGACCTGAAAAATTGAAAAAAAAAAAAGCCCAACCAAAGGAAGCATTGGATGTACTGGCTGTGTACACAGCCCTCGGAGGCACGTTTCCCTGTTTGTCTCCTTGTGTGGATTTGGAGAATAAATATCTGCAGAGTCTTTTGGTAGTGGTTAATCCTTCCTGCCCTGTAATTGAGCGGAGGGCTTCGGTGCCTTTGTGCTCCTTCTTACAAGTGGGGATGGATTGCTTGTGGGAGGAAATAAGTCTGTGGTGGATTACGGGGGGAGGGGTTGTCCCAGGGTCACCGCGCTCAGCAGGCGGCCGGTGCTCAGCCTTACCTGGGAGCTGCGTGGGGTTCTGGGGCGTCGCGTTCCGTGATGGGTTGATGTGGGAGCAGAACGAGAGGTCTGACAAATATTTCTCGGATTTATAAGCAAGGCCGCAGTTTCTCTCCCTGTTCTTTCCAGCACAGGGAACTGTGTCTGTCTTCAAACTGTCTGAGCTGCTTATGTATAGAAGTGGAGTCTGGAACGTGCAGGAGAAGCTGCAGCCTGCCTGTCTGTGGTGGAAAAGAGATTGCAGGAGTGAGGTGGGGTGGGATGCATCAAGGGCATCTTACTAGGCTTCGGCCCTATGGGAATCACAGCCTTTAGAGAACTTGCTCTGTTTTCTTGGCCTTCACTTTCTTAACATTTTCTTTTGTTGGAATAATTCTGGCTCCATGTTTCAGTGGACAAAGTCTCTTTTTGCAGGCCAAGTTCCCCCACGACAAGGGGGCAGACGAACCCTGCGATCCCCAGAGAAAGCGTTTGAGGTTTTGGGTCGGTGCTGCTGTCCCAGATGCCTGCCTCTTCTCCTCTCACTTTGCCCTGTCCTGTATGTAGGTCTGGGGCAGCTGTAGGAGCACGATGGGTGATCGTATTTAGAATCTGTTCCCTCTGAAGCAGGTCTGTGGATGTAGTGCTGTATCTCTCACCATGTGCAAGGCCCCCAGAAACCCTTTTTTGGACTACCAGGACAAATAGTCTATTTGAGGTTTTCTGCAAAAATGGTGCCAATAGCTCTCTTGTGCCAAGTGCCTCGGTCTGCCAAGGATCTGTCCTGCCTTCATCCTATTGACTCTTTTTCTCCCGTTACTGGCTTCTCTTTAATAAGGAGAACAACAAAAACTATTTTAAACATTGACTCTTCAGCTGCAGGGAGAAAGGAAGGATGACTGATGTAAAAATCCTATTTCATGGTTTATTGTCCCAAAAAGCCACTGGAAGCGGTCTCTGCTCTGATCACTGAATGGGAGCTGAAGAACGCACATAATGAGAATATTTAGACAGATTAAAGCCTTCTCCTGAGATCTGCTTGTCTGCGCAGCGTCTTTATTGCTGCTCCAAATTTTCTCACCTCAGTGTGTCTGCAGAGTCCTCAGAGACCACTAGACCCCTATTAACCTTTGTCTGAACAAATGGTTAACTTGCTACTTGTTTGTAAATTGCCTTGGAAAATAAGGGCTTGCAAAGTAAATAAGTGGAGGCGAGTGCAGGAAGTACTGGAATAATCTCTTGTTCGCAACCCATCTCTTGCTGCTGCTGTTTGCCTCCCCTTTGCACCTCAGGAGTCCTGGAAGGTTTGAAGGCTTTGCAGGGCGCTTCCAAGCCTGGCAGGGCCAGAGCATGCAGGGCCAGTCGGATGGGAGGAAGGCACGTGTCTCATGGCCCAGAGACATTGGGGAAGGCAAGCACTGATTACAGTTAAAGCAGATCGATGGGTTTCCAGCTCCGCTTCAGATCATTCAACTCTGTCGTGCTCCTGATAGCTGAGTCCTGAGTCCCTTGGCTGTCGAGTGCCAGTGCTAAGGGCAGCATTCAGTCCTCTGTGCTGGATTCATGCTTCGGTGCAGTTTCTTAATCATCCTCTCTGTAAGGTCAGCTGAGTGTCTTCTGTGTAGACTTGAGGGGAAGGGGCAGTGGGTTTAAGTTTCAGATCTCTCTTCTAGGAGACTTCTGGTCTTTCTGTTGCAGTTTCTAGAAAGCAGATACTGAAATAAAAGATTTAATCCTGGGAATCAGCAGCCATTCAGAGTGTCTGATCCAAAATGCTTTCACGACCTGGCAAGCAGCGCACTTCTGCACCGGGGCAGCCGTTGTAGCTAAAATCTCTACTCTCCACTCAACCCTCCTTTTCTGGCAGTTTGGGATGCGGTGTCTTCCCATAATGGGAAGGAAATGGCTTATTCTCAGGGGAAGCCATAGACCTTTTGGGAAAGAGGCGTTGGCACGGGTGCCCCCGTAGCCTGGCTCAGTAGTGTGTCAGAGCTACCAGTGCATCTGTTCTGTCTGCGTCCCTGTTGGTTCTGTGGCTGATTGGGAAAGGGACGCAGCATCCGCTGTTGCAGGTTCGCGGATGCTGCAGCATCGCAGGCAGCCCAGCGGGTGTGGGCAGGGCGGAGATGGGAGCGCAGATGGTTTAATGGAGATTATCCCAGTTGGAAACGTGCTTTGCAGTGAATAAAATGAGCGAGCTCACCGGCACTTACCATCCCTCATCAGAAGGGGACAATGTCACCCAGCCTGGCGCTCTGATCGGAATGCCGGGCTGCAGCCACGTGAGGCCGTGCAGGGGGGCAGGAGGTGGGATGAGGACACGTAGGACTGCTCGGTGCCAGCAGAACTTGATCGGCAGATGCGAAGGCTGAACTGATAAGTGTTGATGTAGCTCTGTCTCCATGTGCCCTCGGCTGCAGGCGGGAGCTCCTTGCTTTCCCCTCAGGTTCTCTCCTCCCTGGGTGCGCCTCATGTGAGCCTGCTCCTCTGCACTGAGCACAGGCACCCAGAATTTTTATCGTCTGAACCTCCCAGCGGCTCTGAGGGACCCCTCGTGGTGATACTCAAACATCCGTGCTTGAGGTAAACCATCTCTGGCCAACAGGGAGTTGAAGCAGCAGAGCTGGAGCAGTGCTGCAAACGGAGTGCGTTTTCCAAGGACACCTGGGTTTGCTCCTCTCGTTCTCTTTGCAGCAAGTGCTTTTCCTCTGTCCTGCCTTCCTCAGCTGTGCCCTGCAGCAGCATCCGGTAGTAAATGGGTCACAGCTGCCGTCTCCTGGATATTTATTCTTACAGGTTGCGCTGTCTAGAGCCCTTGAGAACCAGCAGTGGTGGAGGTAGCTGCTTCAGTGGCAGGTGAGATGTCTGGAGCAGAAAGGGCTGATAGCACAGCACAGCAGTCAAGGTTTGGGGCGCCTCGAGCTCCCAGGGTAAGATAGGGGAAGGGAAGACAGGCTGCTGGAAGCCCACCCTACTGGTAGGAAGCCATCATCTTGTTTAAACAAATCTCATACTGTGGTGTTTCAGCTTACAGTAAGGATAAGGATGCAGCTGGGATGCTATTAGCACGTTGCCCAGTGTATTGTACAATAAGTCATTCACAGTAAGACCTTCTTGCCAGATTTATTGCACTATATTCCCTACCACAAACATTCTAATGTTTTTTATTATGATACTGATATGGAAACAGAAACAAATGTGCAAAAATGACTACTTCTTCTATGTGTAAATCCTGTTCTGGAAGCTTGGAAAGCAAGGAATCTCCTCCAAAGAATCGAGAGTACCGTGCCATTTCTGTGTGTGCAGGCACCTGGGCTTTGAGCTGTTACTGTGGAGGAGAGGAACAAGTACTGCATTAAGCATAAATACCAGTAACCCTAACTGTTTGTTACAGATGCCTCAAAAATACAGCTTGGCTTGGCTGCAAGCCTGGTCTTGAGGGCTGATTAAAGTCCTCTCATGCTTCTCAGCTTCTGAAAAAGGAGGTGGGTTAGTTACTTTTCTTTGAGGAAAGATAGGAGCCAATTCTGTTTAAAATAAATGGTGTCTGGGTGTGGGATAGGAAGGCAATTCTCAGCGTTCTTATTGTGAAACTAATATGGTTGAAATTGGCGCACAGCCTTGTTAATATGGCATAAATCCTGTCTCCTTCAT